CCCGGCCCGGGCTGCGGGCTGCGCTGGGCTCCGCGCCCGCGGGAGCGGAGGAGCACCCAGCCTGCTGACGCCCGTTAGCTCCGGCCCCCGCGCAGCCTGCCGTTTGCCGCGGGATCTGGGCGAAGGAGCCCTTCTCCCTTCCCAGCGCGGGACGCCGCTCTCCTCCAGGCGGGGACGGCAGGCGCTGGGGCTTGTTCTCGGGTCCGGGAGCGCGGCCCCAAGTTCCTCCAAGTAGCGTCCACCTTCTGAACAGAGCATCTCTCCTGGAACAGTGGCGCTTGGGAACGAGTGAGAAATTCAAGCTGAAAAGCTTTGTGGGACTCGGTACCCAGCTGTGGAGAGAGCCGCGCTCACTGTCACCTGGAATTTGCCTCCTTCAAGTTCGTCTCCTTTAAGAGCACGCGCACTCCGGGTGCAGCAGCGCTTTTCCCTTCTCTCATCCTTTTTGTCATCCTCTTCTTTTTCCTCCCTCTCTCCCTCTCTCCTTTCTTTTCTGTTGCTACAGTTTGCACATTTCCAAATGTCTACCTTTCCGAGGTTTAGCAAAAGGATACGGTCAAAGGAAGGAAAGTAAGTCAACTAATTCTGCAAGAAAAAATTCCTTATGGCAAAAGATAAGAATCACATGTTTTTAAAAGACACTGGCCCTGCTACACAGTACCAAGATCATCTGTCTCTAGCTACTGAATTTTCTTAATAATGACTTAGTTCATCAGGGTCTGTTCCACCAGGGACGCTCATTTGTCCCCGACAAGGCCTTGCTGTCCCCCCTTTTGGGAAGAGAATGGAGGTCTGGAACATGTGGTGGTTCTCTGTCCCACAAAGCAGCGAGGCGCTTTTAAGCCTGGGGTGTTTCATAGTGCAGCAGTAGTAATGGGAATCTGGTTGCCCCGAATAGAATGGTGGGGTTGCCCTTTTGGAGTGTGTGACTTGCTTAATTGGATTGAGCTATAATTGGTGCCATCAAATTCCACACACAGAGCCGCTGTTGTTTTTCCTTCCTGCCTTTGAGCTGGAAGGGTAACAGTGCCCAAATTAATATTGGTTATGGGAGTCAAACATAAAGGGCTTTTTATTGAGTAGTAGCGTATGTATCTCTTACAGTCATTTTATTTCGAATTTTTTGAGGAATTGAACTCAGACTTACTGATGAAAGTGGATGAGGCTTAATGGAGGCCAGAAAATTATGTTGTCCTACAGATAGAAATCGGAGAGTGTTGCTGACAACCTTGGTGAATAGATTTTCTTTGTACATAGGCTTCCAGAGTAGTGTGGAGTAGCCTTGGATTCCTGTGAATGGAGAGCGTATTTTAAAAATGGTGTGCATCATTAGTGTGAGAGTGTGGCAGTACTTCATGAGAGAACTTCAAGAGTCTCTTCGAGGCTGGGGGTGTAGCTCAGTGGCAGGCTGCTTGCCTACCCTCTGTGAGGCTCTGGGTTCCATCCCAGTCCCACCACACCCAACCTCAAAATATTCTCTTACAGGGTGCTGAGTGGCCGTAAGTTATGGAGCAGCTAGTCATTTTACTATCTTTTTATTCCTCACACAAATGCACCGAATTAATGCATTCTTTCTCATTTGGATCATTATGGGAGTTCTATTGTTGTGTTTAGCCTAATGTTTCTCAGTCAAGTTTGAAATTTATTCATCCCAGTGATTTATTTCCATTTTCCTTAGAGTAAGACTCCATTATTGGGAGACATTTCTTCTGCTTTTAAACATTTTGCTTTGTTGTTTGCTTCTGTCAGGGGCAGGTATTTCCTTTACACTGAAAAATGTGTTGCCACTTAACTGAACATGATTTCCACAGACTGTAGCGGGGCACCTGAAATGCTTTCGAAATGCAGGTACTTAGGTCTCGTGGTACTCTAATACAGCAAGAGGGTGAAGAACCACTGCCGTAAACACCATGGTGTAAATTACTGCTGGTGTCAGTTCGTTTTGGGGATTTACTGATGTAACTTAATTTCCAGTGCTTTTAAGCTGTGTTACTGATCACTACATCTAGTAGTGTCAACAGCCTGTTTTGCACATGTGTGTGGGTGTGCGGGAATGTGTACAGTCACTCGGTCATTTTGCCTTCAGTTCCCACTAGAAGCCGCAGACTCAGTGCGCTGGATAATTGCAGTGGAGAGTTGCTTATGCTCTCTTTATCCTTACTCTTTCATACTTGCTCTTATTCACTCACTCCCATTTGTCCATCAAAATCAGTGCCAACTTAGGCCTAGGAAATAATTTGTTCTTAATTGATGCGCGTTAGAAAGGTTGGGTGCCTGCCCAGTTACTTTTGAAGCCAAAGACCGTGATACCTGTTGAGAATCTAGCGTGATAGGCAGGCTTTCTTTGATGCTTTTTCAGTACTTGGTAGTGCTTCATAGCAAGTTGGCAGAGAACTCACTTGTCTTACTATGAAGTGATCCGCGGTGAAGAACATATCCCATGGTATTTTTCTGCCAGTGCTAAAAGTCAGTGGTTTTTTCGGGCTGATTTAATGCACTAGAATCTTATCATTTAATCTATTTATTTGATCATTAATCTTCAGTATGCCTCACATTATTATTATTGCATCTTCTATCCTTCCGTGAAAGAGACTTTAAGTAGAGACAGATCTGTTATGTTCCACGCTGCATGTTAGGATGAACTCGGAGCTTGGATTAATAAATTTGATAACAACTGATCAAAGTATTTTGACAATAATTCCCCAATTGTAATTAATTAGCCTCATACTACTTTTCTTCCTGCTTTCCAAGGAAAAGTATATTAATATGCATGTAGGTATGAAATTCGGAAATGTCTTTCTTCTTTAATTCCTCCCCCCTTATTTTAATGCATAGTTTATGAGTTATTATTTCAACCTTTGTGGCTCGGTTTCCAGAGGAAGTGCACTAGAAAATTGATAAAGGACAATGAGGCAAGGTCGTAGGCACCCCACCCCCCACTTCAGGTAGATAAGGTATGTAGATTTCTCTAAGTAGTATTCATTAATCAGCAATTTAGTCAGATGTGTACATCCTATGTTTTAGAAGAAATGTCAGTGGGTCCTTCCCCAAGGGAGTGAGATCACCAGATGAAGGTTCATTTGGTTTCAATGTCCCATATCCTCTTGTGAGACCTTGAAGTTGGCAGTGCGGGAAAACAGGAACTCCACCCTAGCTCCATGAATTGCAGAACTGTTGTGTTGGTTTATGACCATCTGCCCATTCTTCCTGTTATGACACAGCTTGCGAACTTTTACTGGGAATGTGAAAAGTAAATCCCAGTTTGATACAACGAATTGCTGAAAAGGCCTTTTCAAGTGTAGAGTGTGCATTGTTCATGGAAGGTGTTTCCTAGTGGGTCTAACTCAGCGGCAACTGCACTCATGTATTTAATTTGTTTCTAGGTTTGTCTAGTGCTGTCCTTGATCCGCCCACCCTCAGCATACAGAAAGATATACTTACAATTATGGCTAATACGACTCTTCAGATTACTTGCAGGTAAGGATTAATTTTAGAATCAGATCTGCTGGGTTAAAGAATTAATTGTTTATTGAGGGAAAAGTAATTTCTATTGTGGGAGACTTATAATAGTGTTGTATTGTCTACAAGTAGTGAGGTTTCTAAGAATTAATGTAAGTGAAGCAGTGAGAAAGATGTTCCCTTGAAAGTGTGTACTGTTTGCTACTAATCTTCCAACACACATGCGCACACAGGCACACACACACTTAAAACCAGCACAGCTCCGGCCATGTAGTAGACACTCAATGAGTTCTGAATGTGAAACTGAGGCCATAGCTTATGGAATAAAGCTGAGAAAGTTATCAGCCATATTTATTTCACCCAGAAGGGCTTTGGGACCCATTAATAGCTCTTTCAAGAACTTCAGAGTAAAATTTCCTGCAGAGTAAAATTCTGACAGAAGGGGCAGTTTAATACCCACTGTGTGTGTGTCCTGCACGGGTTGTGGCCTCTGTACCCTGGCTGGGTCATCCGGATGCCTCTTATCCCACCGGCCAGCATGAATTCATGTTACTGATTTTTGATAACTGTGAAAACAGACATCTTTGACAAAAAGAGGCTTTTAATTTTTGCTTTCCAGCCAGGCCAAAAGGCAAGGAGAGCTCGATGGCCTTGGGGTTTCATGGGGTGATAACGAAAGCCCTAGAGACTTCTCAGGACCAGTATGTTTTTGGCAGAAACCATGATGGTTCAAGGCAGTGCTACCCTCCAAGAAGAGTGTTGGGACTCACAGGAACCGGGGGCAGCTTACTTCAGTGACACAGCTGTTTTAGACTGCAGAGCGTAAAGCGCACCCCAGTCCCCTTTTCAAAGGCAGGTCACTAATACCCTGCCCTTGGGAAAAAACACAGTAGCAGGTGCTGTTTCTCAGGCCTTCCTAGTTCAAGATGTTTCCAAGTAGATTTTCCTCTTGCCGACTCTTGAAAACAGAGGTTATTTAAAATCACAAATAGTACATGTTCCCTTTTAAAACTCTGCATAGACATTTCTTAGGTTTTGAAAAAGCCATGAGTGTAAAGTAATTTCAGGAGTCTGAGACAGGAGGATCACAAGTTTGAGGCCAGATAAGCAATTCAACGACTTATCAAGAGCTTGTCTCAAAATAAAAAAGGGCTGGGGATGTAGCTCAGTGTGGAGGTCCTGGGTTTGATCGCTCCTGGCCACCAGCGTGGAATTTCCATCGGTAATCTCACTGGTGTAGCTATGGCTTCGTGGAGGTTTCAGGTTTGTTGAGTGAACGATGATGTAGTCTTCCTAGTGCTCACCATATTTTGGGAGGTCTTGTAGAGAAGTGCTAGAATAAAAGTGCTCTACGTGTTAGTGTTGTCCTAAAGGCTCTTGCTTCTGTTTCCATCTGTCCAGACCCACCGCTGTGCCTTCCCTTTGCCCACGCCCTCCCGCTGCTCTGTTCTTTCCTAGCAATCCAGATGTGCACCTGCCCTGGGCCTTTGCATTTGCCGTTCCCTCTGCCTGAAATACTCTTCTTCCCGACATTCATGCGGCTGATTTCATCCAGTCCCTGCTTCCATCTTCACCCTTTTATTTTCTCCACAGTACTAATCATGACCTTTTATTTGATAAACTTTACTTACGTTTTAATTGCCTGTCTTCTCCAAGTAGACTAAGATTCCATGAAAGCAGTGATTTCTTTCTTTCTTTTTTGGGGTGCTGAGGATCCAAACCAGTGCCTTGTTGCATGCTAGACAATGTTCTACTACTTAGCTGCCTCCCCGGCCCTGACAGCAGAGATTTTTGTATGATTTTTTTCATTGATGTGTCCTCAGTTCCTCACAGTTTTTGACCTAGTAGAAGATCAGTAAATATTTATTGAAGGAACAAATGTGTGACTTAACAGAAAGCTTAGGACTCGCTATAAGTGGTGCCTAAAACTGAGTCCATAGCCTTTTGTCGCGTATCAGTGAAACTGGTCATCGCTGGTGGAAAACTTTGAATCTGGTTTGTAAGTCTGAGAACTCAGCCTTCTGTTGTCACTGTCTGAAAGCAGCGTGGCGTTGTGCATTAATACATCCTTGGAATTAATCTTTCAGTGGGCAGCAGGAGTTGGACTGGCTGTGGCCCAACAGTCAGAGCGGTTCTGAGGAAAGGGTGGAGGTGACTGAGTGCAGTGACGATTTCTTTTGCAAGACACTCACCATCCCCAAAGTGATCGGAAATGATACCGGAGCTTACAAGTGCTTCTATCGAGACACCAACATGACTTCGGTCGTTTATGTCTACGTTCAAGGTAAGTGGTGGAATAGAATTCATTTCCGGTGTCCACTTACCGGTTACAAAGCACAATAGGTACAAAGAAGAATGGAGTCCAGCAGAAGGCTGGCAGTGAGGGCTGACCGCCGAGCGGAAGGCACAGAAGTCTTCCTCGAGGCATTTTCTGAGAAATGACTCGCTGATGGGCTCTGGGGTTTGGGGTGCATTGCCTTCCTTTTGCCCAAGTCGCTGGACTCTGATCTTTGTTTCTGTAGTAAATCTGCGTTCCTTGCAGGCTATGGAGACTCATAAAAATCCTTCTGGTGTTTAAGGCAAGAGAAGCTGAAATCTTTGAAATCAAGGAAGATTGAGAAGTGAATTATAGGGAGGTTTCTATGGCGAGATAGGTTATCTTCAGCTGAGTAAGAGATTTTCACAAGAATGCATAGGGAAACAGCCAAGGGTTCTGGAGGCTTTTTGTGCATATATTTGGAAGGTGCAGTCAACAGGATCTGCTTATGGATTCATTGCTACTTATACTTTATAAAATTAATTTGCCTCCTCATATGAACAGTTTCTACCTCAAAGGGCCCTGTGAGGGCAGTGTTTTTGCTGTTGTTGTTGTTGTTCCTCTGTTGTGTGGTTTGATCCGGTTTGCCTTTGGGACAGATACAAGGGAGGCCAACTTAACATCCATATAAGACAAAATACAGTGCTATATTATTCCATATTGTGATATGAGTTATGCTATCTTTTAAAAAATCTTACACTACCTTAATTTTCTTATGAAAACCTGTCAACTGAGAGACTTCTAATACTGCATACTTTTGAGGAATGTAAGAGTTGCATATTTTTTGTTAAGATACACTAAATATTTTTCTCTTCAGTGAGGGATAGATTGTTAAACATTCTATTTCTTTATGTGCAGTTTTGCACCCCAGAGGATTTGAGGCAGGTGAAAATGACTTAGACTGTTTTTCCAGAAACGACTTTTACAGGCCAGGAATTTCACTCACTGTGGGAAACACCTTTTGCCTCCCTGTCCTTACACTGCAGTAGTGCAACGTGATCAGTAGCAGGGAGAAGTCGAGACCACATCGAAATCACTTGTCACTCCTGAACTGTGTGGTATTTGAGAATTATGTTAGCTCAGGGTAAGCATCGTTCAAGAAAGAATTCTGTGCCCTCCTCCTCCTCCCCTGCAGGATTTGAGAGACAAGGTTCAGGTCCTGGCTCCTTTTGATCTGGCAGTCTTGGGAGATGAGGTTGTCTCAGAAGATTGCAAGGATTTCCTGCTTTCGGACTGTCTGGAAATACTAGAGATGCACTTCTCCCGTAATGTCTCGCTATTTCCTTCTCCCCAAGTCAGGAAACCTGGAGACATGTGAAGATTCATTTCATGAGTTACAATAAATATTTTATTTTGAGAGGATGGGTGGTTGTTTGGGTTTCTTTTGTTTACTTCCTTTTGGGGGCCTACCGAAATAGAGTTGATTTACTGAATAGATGTACTCTCAGGTCAAAGGGTTACTTCAGCTTCCAAGGCTTGCTCTGTAAGCAGATTACATAATTTTTCATAATAGGTGGGGAAAGGTAGGCAGCACTAAGAAGCAGTGATTCCTAGCTCTGTTTATTTGTGTACTAGCAGACTTTGGATGTACCGTTAAATTCTGCTTCCTCTTTTAGGTTCATGTTCTAAATTGAGCTATCCAAAATTTTGATCATGAAATTTAACAGTGGGAAAGACAGTGCTGAATACAGTATTCCCCATGGACAGGTCCTTTAACGTCCCCTGTGTTCCTCACCTCGCTTTCTTAGTCTTCTGACCCCGTTCGCTTCAGCAGTGGATAGAGGCAGGAAGTGGGCCCTGGCCTCATAAGATAATGGATACGGCCTGTGGAGGACGAGACGCCTTCTTTTCCATGCTTTCCAGCTGGGAAGAAAATCAAACTTTTGCTGTGGGGGGAATTAGGTGCTTGTCTCCCCTTTGGTTTAATTAACTCTTTCTTCACCTCTGAAAATGCTTGATCAGAGGTATTGCGCACAGGAAGATGAAATGTTATCTCTGAAATCTCAAGCATGACTCCAAACCTAATCATCTGCATCTCTGGGGAGTGGACTAGGTTTCCGGCAGCGTATGAACATTTTATGAATAGTGTCTGAACGATGTGAGAAACTCTAGTCTTCTTCAGTCATCAGTATTATGGTTTTTCAAACAGTTGTCATTGGAGGTATTAGTAGCTGCTGAACTTTAACTAAATGCAGTAAATATTAACTGTGCTTTTAGAAAGATTCCTATCCATAGTCTTCACAAGCTTAAAATGTCATATAGAGCATTCTCTTGAATAATTGCATTGAAATATTACACATTTTTTCTGTTAATTTAAAGATTTCTGTTTGCTTTCATGGCACTTATTTGCTTAGAGAGAAGGTGAATTTTTAACATCAGTAAAACTTGTAGGCAAAATATATAGATTTAATTTTAAATTTTAAAATGAATGTTTATTTTGAAAAAAAATCATAATAGTCTGTTAAAAATATAGAGACTATAAAATATCTACTTGATGATGTTCCTTATAAAGTGGGTCAATCTCATTCTGGGAATTTTCTTTCAAATTTCACACACATATGCATACACACATACACACACACACACACACACACATTCCTAGCCCTGTAGTGTATTTTTGGGCTTAGACATATATGTACAGCCTTACCTGTGGATGCCTTTACCTGTTGGGGTATCACTTTGGATCATTTACTTCTTTAGTTAAAATTTATATATATATATATATATATATATATATATATATATATATATATATATATATTTGTGTGTGTGTGTGCCAGGAATTGAACTCATGACCTTACGCTTGCCAGGCAGGCACTTATGCCACTGAGCTATATTCCTGGCCCAAATTTATAAATCTGGAAGATGGTTAACTTTTCTGCCAGAAATCACTGGTGGAATTAAATTTTCTTCTAGATTACAGATCACCCTTCATTGCTTCTGTTAGTGATGAACATGGAATGAACATTTTATGAATAGTGTTTGAATGATGTGAAAAACTCTCCAGTCTTCTTCAGTCATCAGTATTATAGCTTTTCAAACAGTTGTCATTGGAGATATTAACAACTGCTGAACTTTAACTAAATGCAGTAAATATTAATTGTGATTTTAGAAGGATTCTGATCCATAGTCTTTACAAGCTTAAAATGTCATATAGAGCATTCTGAAGTCACTGATGGAATTAAATTTTCTTCTAGATTACAGATCACCCTTCATCGCTTCTGTTAGTGATGAACATGGCGTGGTGTACCTTACTGAGAACAAAAACAAAAGTGTGGTGATTCCATGTCGCGGGTCCATTTCAAACCTCAACGTGTCGCTTTATGCAGTAAGTCACGTCATTTTTAATTATCTCAGCAGGATAGCCTGTTCTCAAAATTATATCCACAGAGATTTCAAGGATTCTTTAGAAGGGGTGAAAGTGACAGTGGATAAAGCCAACTTGTATTCTTAAAAATGAGATAAATTCTTCAGTGAGTCTTGTGTGGCTTTTACTTGGAGAAAGCGCTGGATGAGATATTTGACATTTCTTTTCGTTACTCAGAGGTATCCTGAAAAGAGGTTTGTTCCTGATGGAAACAGAATTTCCTGGGACAGTGAGAAAGGCTTCACTATTCCCAGCTACATGATCAGCTATGCTGGTGTGGTCATCTGTGAAGCAAAAATTAACGATGAAGTTTACCAGTCGATTATGTACATAGTTGTGATTGTAGGTAAGAGGCTGTTTCCTTTCTGTATCACAAATTCCAGACAGTAATGAGTGATTTTCTACAGGAAGAGCCTGGGGAGGAAGGTATAGGGTGAAGGACAAGGGATATTGAAAAATATAACTCAGGAGATGGTGTTCGGCAGCTCATTACATCCACTCTGCCCTTCTGAGTAAGCCCATGTGCAATTGAGTATTCTCCTTTCTTGCAAGGACCAAGGATGAAACGGAATGTCATTCCAAGTACCCGTCTCAGGAAAAATTCAGGATTCAGGTTACGGCATGGTTTCAGGTCTTCTAAATGTATTTAATTTTATGGAATATAATTTAATTTTATGGAAAGCTCAGCCATTTGCTAAAGCCGGGAGCTCTAGACTTTTCTACCTACTGGGTTGCTATCTTTAGAGTGTTACTATCTAAGATGATTTTAAAAATGTCATTGTACTGTGAGGCTGAAGGGCCTACTTGAATAAGCATGAGCTTTGCAAATTGATGGAACCCAAATTCAGCTAGGGCTTTGTAGATCTCTGTAAGCCATTGTCACCAGCGCTATCAAGCCCTGATGAGTCTCAGAGAAAAATGCATCACTTTCAAAACATGTTTGCAAACTTACAGGTTTCTTTTCTCTCCCATGCTCTATCTTTTACTTGCTCCAGGGTACAAGATTTATGACGTAGTTCTGAGCCCTCCTCATGGAATTGAGCTGTCTGTTGGAGAGAAGCTTGTGTTAAACTGTACAGCAAGAACTGAGCTAAACGTGGGGCTTGACTTCAACTGGCAGTGTCCGTCCTTGAAGGTAACACTAGCAACTCAAAACCAGACCTCTCACTGTTTTGATAAGAAGCCCTAATGAAATTTACTTGAGAGAGAGGCCCTTCTATCTCTCATATAAGGCCCTTAAGAAACACACACATGCACATGCACACACGCATGTGCTCTCTTGGAGAGCTGCAGGACACACAGCAGCCCGTACAAAGATGCCGTGCTAGGAGCACTGTGCCAATCTACTGCAGTCAGGCTGTGAACATTAGTTTGGTAGGTGGGTACATCTTTTCACATTGTATTTATTTTTTGTTCTTAAAAATACTTTTATCTATTTCCCTTTAAGGGACTTGATCATAAAGAGGTATTTCAAGACACATTTTTAAGCTGTAGTCATATTTCCTTGTGTCTCCAGTCCATATCCATCCTGTTCTTACCACGTGAAGTTTTAAAAGTACTAATTCAGTCACTTCCATTTATTTCTCCTGAATCCAAATGTACTTCCTGTCTACATGTCAAAAGCCCCTGTGATTGACATTAAATTACCAGCGGCAGAGACTTGACCTTGTGGTTCTCTTGAAGCTATTGGGTAATGATCACCTGGACTTTGGAAATTAACTAAACTCTTTCTTCAGCATCAGCATAAGAAAATTGTAAACCGGGATATAAAACCTCTGCCTGGAACAGAGATTAAGAAGTTTTTGAGCACCTTGACTATAGAGGGCGTAACCCGGAGTGACCAAGGGTGGTACACCTGCTCTGCATCCAGTGGGCGAATGACCAAGAAGAACAGCACATATGTTAGAGTGCATGGTGAGCTACAATTTCCTGGGGAATTACGCTATGCCTAGAAAAGTGAGATAAACAGATTTAAGTTGTCTAGTGATTCTGATTTTGCTCATTCAGAGGACAGTTTTGAGCTCTTGCTATGCAAGACACATGACCCGTGGTCAAGAGCATGGCTCTGGAGTCAGACACCTGGGTAAACATCTCGACTTTAAAATGAAATAAGCTAATATAGTAAGTGCTCAGTACATACTACCTCTTGTAGTTATTGCTGTGATTACAACTACTACTCTAATAAGTAGAGTGTTACCATCTAAGATGATTTTCCAAACGTCATTGCACTGTAAGGCTGAAGGGCCAGCTTGAATAAGCATGAGCTTTGCAAACTGATGGGACCCAAATTCAGTTTTTTGTGTGTGTGTGTGTAGCTTTGGGAAAATCACCTTAAGTTTTTACTTACTCTCTGTCATTCATGTACATGTCTTAGTTTAAATCATTTATGTGGCTTCCTGCATACGGGCTTCCATAGGGGTTTGGGGCTTCATTTATGTGAGTGTATCAGAAAGAGATGAGCTCTAGATTATGGTTTTATAGGATTACTGTGTAACTTGTGTGGAAAACTTCAGGGAAGTGAGGTCAGAAGAAGGGAGTACAGGTAGGAGGCTAATTTCAGTCTTCAGGTGAGAGAGGGTGGGTACCATGGACAAGGCGGTCCGCTTTCCCATCTCAGGAACTCGGTACTTGCTGCCCACAGTGCAGAGGAGGAGAGGCAGAATTTGGCTCAGAGGCTTCAGAGGAGAGTTTAGGGAATCCAGTGTGTGACCTGCTCACTCCTAGGTGGGAACACCATTTTGGAGCAAAACTGCTCAGTTCGTGGTGGCTGGGAAGCAGAGCAGGGGAGCAGCAGCAGACAGGCACGGGCGAGGGACTGGACCTGGACCCCCAGTCACTCGTCCGTGACCACCTGTCAGCCCAGAAGTGCGCTTTCCTAACCCGCTGGTGACTCAGGCCAATCCAGTCGACACATTGCCGCTTCACCACCACAGGAGTAGAAGGGGAGGTGGTGCGGGTGTTGTGCTTCAGGGTGTACGTTGAAGGTGAATCAGTAGGACCTGACGACACCCCCATTGGCTGTGGGGTGTAATAAAAAAAAAGTGAAGGATGACTCAGGCTTCAGCATGAGCAACTGAGTTAATTTGGAGTTATTTACTTAGGGAAGATATAGGAGGGCGTGGGATTTGGGGGAACAGGGTTGAGCATGCTCATTTGGAGATGTTCGTTCTATAGAATGAGTGGAGATATCTAATATATAAATCTGCAGTGCAAAGGCATTAGGGCACAACATACAAATGTGAGAGATATGTAACCAGAGCAAAATACAAAGACAAGGGGCCTGAGGACCGAGTCTGGGACATATGAACACATGGCAGGTGCGTAGAGGCTGGCGTGGGGGCAGAAGAGGAGGAGCACCAAGGGCACCTGGGAACAGGGCAGTGGATGCTTTAGGTCTGTGGGTGCACACTAGGGTGGGAGAAATGCCTGCGTAAAGCCTAGATAGAGACTGGAGTGTGGCCCCGGAAGGGCCACATGGCCTCAGAACTGCAGTCCTCAGACCCCTAAAGTCTTTGATGTTGCACTTGAAATGAGAAAAACAAAGGACCATTTAAATAAGCTGATATTTATGAGAGCATTTGTTTTTTATTTTCTTCTAGCAAAACCTTTTGTTGCTTTTGGTAGTGGCATGGAATCTTTGGTGGAAGCCACGGTGGGAGACCATGTCAGAATCCCCGTGAAGTACCTGGGTTACCCCGCCCCTGAAATCAAATGGTAACTATTGGAAGCAAATGTAAAGCATTGCTTCGCATGAACGCAGATCCTTCCATTGCATTAATTCCTTGGCTTGTTTCTCTTGTAGGTATAAAAATGGGAGACTCATCGAGTCCAATTACACAGTCAGAGTGGGGCATGCACTGATGATTATGGAAGTGAGTGAGAAAGACAGCGGAAATTACACCGTCATCCTCACCAATCCCATCTCGAAGGAGAAGCAGAGTCACGTGGTATCTCTGGTTGTAAATGGTGAGTCTGTTCAGTTTTCCCCTCTTCCGAAGATTAGGAAGGGTGTGATCGCACCTTTCCAAATCGTCTCCCCATCACCCCTCCTCTCACCACATCATGGCATGGCTGACACATAAAAATCAAAATGATCCAGGGAGGCAGGACTGAGACAAGACGTGAGACCGTGTGCTCTGGCTGTTTCCTTAAATGAGCTGTTTGGGGGTCAGACACAAGACTGAAGTAGATGATACAGGTGATGACTAAGTGCTTGAAGCAAGGCTGTCTTGGTTTCTACCTTTGCCCCTGTTTCAGGGAGTTGCAGACCCCCATGTGTGGGTGTGAAAGACTCTTCTTCTTGAGTTTGGGTGAAGTGTTCGTCTGATGTTGGTGGGGCTTGATCAGGGATCCACAGGCTGACCCCAGCTCAGAAGGTCTTTGTCAGTGGACACCGTTGGCTTGCTTGGAGTCCAGGATTTGATGGATAAAGGGGAGATAGTAGGCTTTTAGTTGAAAGATGATTTGAACCTTGTGTCCCTAGACTGAAAGATATAAGTAAGTATTGGGGTGGAGAGAAGGGTACCATGATCATTAAACCTGGGAAATGCTAAGGTGGTGTAAAACAGTTTCTTTATGTCAGGACTTTCTAGGACCTTTATCAAGCTGACAAATATCACCACTGTTGAGGAAAAGAGATAGAGTAGTCAAGGCTTAACAAGGCCTATGTGGCCCTAGCACACTTTTTCCCTGAGTAAATCTACTAACACCTTGCACCACACATAGTTGTAGAAGTGCTTCTCTGTGGTAATCCTTTTTGCTCCTTACCGGCATGGCATGTTGAAACTTAAAAAAATATTCTCTCATGACATGAAACCACTTCCCTGTGTGTCCTGATACTCCCCTGTATGTCTGCTGAACTTGGCTTCCTTTCTTTCTGCGGGGAGTATTTTAAGATAGCAGGTTCTACAGAGGTTGCTTGGAAGCAGTACGGGTGTGGGGGTTTCGGAGGAGGAGTACATAACTGGAAAGCTGATAAGTGGGATGGGGGCAGAAAGTGCTCAAGCAATAAAGAGAAAAGGGGACAGAAAATAACTGCATTTCTTCAGTTGGTGTGGTCACTAGGCATTGGATTCTCCCTAACGTTTACCCTACCGCATGAAATAAATAAAAAAATGCAGTCAAGGTTTAAATGTATAAAGAAAGATCTAAATCTTCACAGAATGGATCACTGTGGCCTCTCTCTCTCCTCCCCAACCTCACCTTCTCTCTCTCTCTTTCTTGCTCTCTCTGTGAGGCTTTAGGCTGACAGTGACAAAGTGCAATAGAAGTACAGTAATAATACAAAATTACTGTTTTGTCCCTGTGACTTTGAGCCTAAAGAGAAAGAAAAAAGGAAAGATGGAGGACGGGAAAAATGAGGAAGGGAGAGGATAAGGGCGGGGGATGAGAAGCATTATGTGAGGATTTACGTCCTCTTCTGTCATCTTCTGTAGTGTAGTGTTTCAGTAGTGCTGGGCTCTAGATTTGTCCTGGGCAACACCAGACAAGTCTTCCCGCTTTTCTATTTCTTTTTCTCGTGTGCAGAATTGGGCACAGTAAGTGTTGTGAGGCTGGAGTGGACTACGAAATGGAGAACTCCTAAAGCCACATAGAGAGAACTCCTAGGCACATAGAGAACGTATTCCCCGTGTTGTTCCGGCTGTTCCCTTCTGTAGCCTGGCGGGGTCTGTGAGGTGTGGCGGAGGGGTGGAGCGAGCTGTGCTGTGCGGATGGGAAGCGCTGAGACTCGGGGCTGTGAGACTGTGTGCAGCTCCATCGTGTCTGCTGTAGCTGTGGGCACCGCATATAGAGCTTGGCCCTCTTGCTTCCAAGCCTAGGTGTTCTTTGGAAAAGAAAGTGGGGTAAAATCAAAGTCAACCTGGCAAAGTATGGTAGCACATGGATGTAACCCCAGCACCCTGGGCAGCTGAGGCAGGAGAATCTCAATTGGAAGCCTAGCCTGTACGGCTCAGTCACTTAAAATAGAGGGTCTTAATTTAATCCCCAGTAGGGCCCAAAACAAAAACCCAGCTCTGCTTGTGGAAATCCTCTGCTTTCATTCCTCAACCTGACTGAGAATTCAGAAGTGGTCTTTCCTACCTCCAGTGCCACCCCAGATTGGGGAGAAGGCCCTGATCTCGCCCATGGATTCCTACCAGTACGGCACCACGCAGACACTGACGTGCACGGTCTATGCCAACCCTCCGCTGCATCACATCCACTGGTACTGGCAGCTGGAGGAGGAGTGCTCCTACGAGCCCAGGTGAGGCGGGCTGTGTGCTCTCTTTCTGGGGCTGCTGTTGTACATTTCTTGTAGCCAGGCTGTGCCACCCCTCCGTTCTAAACTGAAAAGGTGACCCCTAAGAAGGTTGTCCTTCAAGGGGCCCTCAGCCTCTCCTTCCACCTTTCTTGGTGTCCCATGTTTCAGCAGATGTCTTCACTGGGCTCAGTCCACTGTGTGACTGGCTGGGTCTCTCTTCCTGGGTTTGCCCTGATGTACACTTCTCCAAGTGGGTGCTCTTTGCTCAGTTTGCTCACTTCCAGTCTGGGTTTTCTCCTCATACCAGTTGGAGATGACCACCTCGCTGCTTATCCTCGAGAAGGTCCATCTCTCAGAGGAAGTGCCGGCGGGTGGGAGGCGGTGATAGACCCAGCCCAGCCCTCAGAGTCTCAGACCCGGCTTATCAGGCTCTACCACAAGTCCAGACATCCTCAGGGAGAAAAACAACAACCACCACCATCCCACCAACACCCAAGCAGTCCACTTCCTGTTGTTGTTTTTGAAATGGCCACTACTGATTTCTTCCTGAGCTGCTGGCCATTTCCTACAGAAAGGCCACGGTCCCACAGAAATGACTCTAAGAAGCCCGGTGGCTTCTAAATTTCCTTATCTTCCTTTGAACTAAATTAACTTGAATTGTCTTGTCGGTCCAATTTATGAATGGAGATTTGTTCCCAGAATAGCTGCTTCCCTCCTGTATCCTGAATGAATCTACCTAGGACCTTTTCCTTCATTGCTGAGGCCTATTTTTAATTGGCGCCAAGTCTTGTGAAAGGGTAGGCTGCATTGAAAGTATTTCTAAACACATAGTAACCAAAGCTGCCCCCTTCCCTTACTACTGATTTGAATAAAGAAAAGTTAAATCATAATCTGTTATCTCTCTTCTGTAGGCAAACTACGACAAACCCATATATTTGTAAAGAATGGAGAACTGTGGCAGATTTCCAAGGGGGGAATAAAATTGAAGTCAACAAAAATCAGTACGCCCTAATTGAAGGAAGAAACAAAGTGAGTATAAAATTATTTAATTTGAAAATCTCTGTTTTTCTCTTGTTGGTGGAAGGATAATACAATAATATGTGAAGCATTTGGGAGATTAATAATCAAGTAGATTGGATGATAAAATAGTAGTATATTTTTGGCTTTTTGATATAGGATCTCACATGCAGTTCAGGCTGGCCTTGAGCTCGCTTTGTAGCCCAGGCTGGCCTTGAACTTGCAGAGGTCCTCCTGCCTCAGCCTCCCAAGTGCTGAGATTACAGGCGTGCACCGCCACGCCCGGCTAAAATACTAGCATCTTAAGTCATTTTGAGAACCTCATTGGTTTGTAGCAATACTGTTAGCTTACTAATAGCTCACTGGAGGAAAATGAAACATATCTGCCTGTTAATCTATACATCTGTTGTAAGATAATTCTGGTTTTATAAACACGAGATGGAAAATGTTCATGATGTTGCAATAAAACACGTCATTAATCTGATGGCTTCCAGAGCCCCTTATGTGTAGCGTGTGAGCTCCGTCCCGGCCCCATCACAGCTGCACACATCTGAAGGTGGTCGCTGTGGGCCCTGAAAGGAGCAGCCAGGCTGCAGCAGCTGTGTGCGTGTGCATGGACGGAGCCTGCACTGCTTATGGCCTGGGATTTGTTTTCTCCGCAGACTGTAAGTACCCTTGTTATCCAAGCTGCAAACGTGTCAGCTTTATATAAATGTGAAGCCGTCAACAAAGCCGGGAGAGGAGAGCGGGTCATCCCCTTCCACGTGACCAGTGAGTACTCTTCTCTGAAGGGCGGATCGCGTCCCTCACAAAGTGGGCTCTTAGCTGCTGTGTGCTTTTCAACTGGCCTTGTCATTTGTGTGAGTGACGTGGCATGGAGGACGGGGACTTGGGCTGATACCGATGCTTATGTTGATACAGTAAAACTGCCCTGGGTTTCTGTGAAGTCAGTTCATATGCCTTCACTGGAGAGAAAATTATTTCACTCTGGCCTTAAACCACCAGCTCTGGGCTGGGGTTGTAGCTCAGTGGCACAGCACCTGCCTGGAAAGTATGAGGCCCTGAGTTCGATTCCCCCCAGTTCCAAAAAAAACCAAAACAAAAACCAGCAGCTTTGCCATACCTATGTTCTCTGTCTTGGTTGTCAGAGTCTAGCACAATGCGTGGCTTGTTGTGGTTTACTAATATTGGTAGGCTCATTGCTGGACAGTTGAAAGCTTGGGCTCTGATGACATAGGAATAGTACCCTTAAACACTGCTGACTTTGCCTGCTCATGCTAGTCGTAGGGATAAACTGTAGTTCACTGTGCTGGATGAACTATTTTAGCCTCAGCTCATTAGTTGTAGGAAATGTAGCTTTATTGTCAGTGAGTGTTTAGCCTGGCATGGTGGTAAACATTGTTAGTCCCAGCACCGTGGGAGGTGTAGGCAGGAGGCTTGCAAATTCAAGTCCAGTTCAAGTCTACCCTGGCATCTTAGTGAAACCCTATCTAAGAAAGAAAGAAAGAAAGAGAAAGAAAGAAAGAGAGAGAGAAAGAGCGCATGGGCGAGTGAGTGAACGAAGTGGGGATGTAGCTCAGTGCAAGGGTCCAGTATCATAAAAAAATGTTAATGAGGAAATGATTTTTTCAATTCTTTATGATTGGATGCATTGCTTTGGAATTTTTTTCATTTTAAAGTGGAGATGTAGAAAATATCTGGAGAATTAATTTATATTTCCAAATACTCTATTTTGGGACCTGAACCATTCAATTGGGCTGTCTCCTTGTAGCAAATCATTGGGGACAAAGAGGACTTCAATGTTGGGGTTCTTTACTGCAGTCTGAAGGCAGCAAGAAGACAGCAGTGTGCTGATCGGCATTCCCTCGCTGTGGCTTTGTTTCAGAGGGCCCTGAAATTAGGGTGCAGCCCGCCCCGCAGCCGACGGAGCAGGAGAGTGTGTCTCTGTGGTGCCACGCAGACAGAGCGACATTTGAGAACCTCACGTGGTACAAGGTTGGCCCGCAGCCTCCACTGGTCCACATGGGAGAGCAGCTCACGCCTGTTTGCAAGAACTTGGATGCTCTTTGGAAACTGAATGCCACCGTGTTCTCTAATAGCACGAACGATGTTCTGGTCGTGGAGTTCCAGAACGTGTCCTTGCAGGATCAAGGAGAGTATGTCTGCTCTGCTCAAGACAGGAAGACCAAGAAAAGACACTGCATGGTCAGGCATCTCACAGTCCTGGGTAAGGAGGCAACTCCAGGTCATTGTCGCGAGGCAGGTGGAATGCCTTAAATATAGTGCCTTCAGGTGCTGCGGGATGATTTCTGTCCTCCAGGAGTTTGTGAAGCAGGCTGGGACACACTTGCTGAAAGTCCTTGAGGCAGAACACAGCAAATAACAGTTGTGAAACAGTGTGATAGAAACAGAAAATAACGTGGTTCTTTCCAATTTTTTTTGATGGTGTAGCTCACTAGTATCAGCAAGGGATTAGCTTGACCCAGGGAACTTTCTGCATTATTCTTGGGGATTTCTTCATTAATTTGACTCACATTTGTGGAACACCTAAGATGAGCTAAGAGGATGCCAGCATTCACGGTCCTGACAAGATGAGAACATAGCCAACCACTGGGCAATAATAGCACAACGAGGGGTCTATGTGCACGGTGACAGGCATTGCTCCTACTGTAGCTCTATTCATAGAACCTAGTGCCATATACTGGGTGCTCAGTGTCATTCCTGATGCGTGCATAGTGTGATGATGGGCTCAGTGTCGTTCCTGATGCGTGCATAGTGTGATGATGGGCTCAGTGTCGTTCCTGATGCGTGCATAGTGTGATGATCCAGAAGAGTCCTGGGAGGCTTGTTACACAAACAGCCTGTGGCTCTAGGACATTGGGATGGTCCAGAGCAGCCCAAGGTCAATGGAGTGGTAATTTTGGTAGCAGAAAGCTTTGTAAATTCCCTGTCAGACTACTCTCTGCACCTTGTCTAACCTGCTTTGTCCCCAGGGAAATCAGGTGAATTTGGGGAGTTTCTGTACCATTTTCTCCATCTTATCCTCCTTTTAGTGTCTCTTTCCAGGACCTAGAATGCATACGTCCTCTGTTTGTTTGTTTGTTTTTTTTTTTTGGTTTTTTGAGCTAAATCCCCAGCCCCACGTCCTCTGTTTGTTACTGCAGGAAAGGGGGAACTCCCTAGGCAAATATAGCTATATCAGAGTTTTAGAGCAGCATCTTGTCCAAAGCTTGGGTATATCGTAGGAGGAATTTTCAGATATTCAGATGACAGAAGAAGAAATATTTTGGAGTCAAGTTATCGCCCAGGATCCTTGAAATCATACCACACATGTGACCATGTATTAACGTTGGCGGCTGGTCTGGTTTTGGGCTAGGAGAAGGATTCAGAAAGAGCTGTGGATGAGGATCCTGGCTTTGCTGGCCTGGGAAATGTTTGTTTGCAGTTAGCTGGCTTGCATCTCTAAGGATGCCTGTGTTATTTTCCTGAAATCTATTCTTAGAAATAGACTAGGATCCAATACGTTTGTTTAAACTCTAGTGTAGGGCTCTGTTGGGATACTCTTGCTTTGCTAAGCATTGAAGTAGATTCTTTCAGGATGATTCCTTTTGACATTCAGTTGGTGTGGAGAAGATATTTCGACAGGACTCTGATCATTTTCAGGAAATGAGTAAATTTAATGTTTTCCTGTACATTTAAACAAATATCATTGGATTTTCTATCTTTTATATCTTTGGCTTTCCTTAAGGTATTGTTGTTCTGTTCATGTTTAGTGCAAATAGCACTGGATGTTTAGGCTTACTAGATTCTATTGTTTCAACTCCTTACTTAATTATAAGGACCTGGGCAAGTGGTTTCAACCTCTAATTTGTAATTATTTCATCTCAAAATAAGGCTGTTAGATCTCTCCTGCTCATCATGTAAGACTGACAGTAACACAAATAGATAAATGAATTTTGTAAAAGTTACCGAATAGCAGGGCGTGGTGGCACTTCTGTAATCCCAGTACTTGGGAGGCTGAGGTGGGAGGATCACTGCAAGTTCCAGGTCAGCTTGGGCTACAAAGTGAGTTCAAGGCCAGCCTGAACTGTGTAGTGAAACCTTGTCTCAAAAAGACAAAAAAATTTTGCCAAATAAATACGAAGTGTTTGGTACTTTTCATGAGAAAATGTGGCAGAATGCTAGGGTCTTACTGACTTGAACTTTTATGAGAAAGAAATTTACCCCATATCTGTTCAGAGGCTTTACTTTGTGATTTCCAGCTAGAGTTATTAACGTGAATGTTAAAGCTTGGCAGGGTCTGTCTGAGCTGTCCTCACTCTCTTTATTTCACTTAATGACCAGCAGTGCTATTGTCAACTTCTGTGTATTTTCAGTCCGCTGAACCAGCAGGTTGCTGTTTACTAAGTTTAAACCGTTTCACAGTTTACTGATACTAAAATCACCTCCGGTGCTGTAACTAAAGGTTCTGTGATTGTTTTCAACGTGCACAGAGCGCATGGCACCTGTGATCGCAGGAAGCCTAGACAACCAGACAACAAGCATTGGTGAAACCATTGAAGTCGCCTGCACAGCGCTCGCGAACCCCCCTCCGCACATCACCTGGTTTAAAGATAATGAGACACTTGTGGAAGACTCAGGTGACTAGAACCTGTCTGTCTCTTTGGTTGTAGAATTTCCCCAAAGATGTTACGTAAAACCTATATGACTTCTCAGCTTGTTTTAGGGTAGGTGAAAAGCAAGGGTAGTGAGGGTGGCTTCTCATTCCATAGACTTAGAAGTAGGATTCTCAGGGAGCCTCATGGGAGGGCAGTCAGCAGTAGGTCCTACCTTACTTTTTTGCGGTGGATAATGGCCCAAGCTGAAGGGCAGCTCTTACCTTTTAAATTTTTTTTTCTGAAAAACTCTACAGATCACATCATCAGAAATGGAATGACCATTTCCCTTCTCTTCTAGGCATTGTACTGAAAGATGGGAACCGGAACCTAACCATCCGCAGAGTGCGGAAGGAGGATGAAGGCCTCTACACCTGCCAGGCCTGCAACGTCCTTGGATGTGTGAGAGTGGAGACATTTTTCATCATAGAAGGTCAGTGTGAAGCTGTACACGTCAGGTGGTTTCCAGGCAGGTGCACTGTGTCTTACGCACGCTGCGCACTTCAGGCGCGATGACCCCTGAGGGGTGGTAGTGCCTCTTGTGCAGACTGTTTGAGATTTTGCATTTTTTTCCAGGTTTGGGGACATTTCCATGTATATAATAGAAATCTTGGGGATGGGATCCAAATCCAAGCACAAAATTCATTTATGTTTCCTGTGAAGCTGACACACAGAGCTGAAGGGAGTTCTGTACCATATTGTATTTTAATTGTGGCCCGTCCTATGAGCCAGGTGTGGAATTTTCCACAAGCGCTGTCGAGTCAGTCCTAAAAGTTTAGATTTTGAGCATTTTGGATTAGGGGTGCCTAACCTGTTACCCTGTGTGATTTTTTCAGTAAGTATATATTCTTTCAACCAGTACACATATTAATGTTGTTTTATTTCTGCTTCTATCACATTTCCTGTCTTTGTAATTCTTTTTGTGGAAAAATCCCTAGCCAGGCAGGATGCATATCCTCCTGCCTCAGATTGTATCATTGTTTGCATGGACCGATTAATTTATAGAAACCATACCTCTCTATTTATTTGGAAAAACATTACAGTTTAATCATTAAGGTCAGCAGCGCTCTTCAGTTGATCACAAATGATCCGAGTTTTCATGGGAATAAAGATAATTAAGGTTCACTTGTAAATAATAGACCATTGCTTTTCTGAAACGGAACATTCGGGGTCCTTATCTAAATATGAAAGGAAGCCTGTGTGTATATGCAGGAGTGGTGTCAAATCTGGCACTTTTTCAGATGGGAAAAGTAATTTTGTGACAAAATATTTCATCCCAATAAGTGTATTCCTGCATCTTTTTTGTAATCTACCTGGGGAACGATGGAACTGTGCCGGGTGTGTGAAGGAATGGTGTGCAAAGGGGAAAATAATGATGGTGACAGAGGGGGGTTGACAGATTTCTGTGAACTCACCCTAACTTGTCACAAAGTCCAGGTATTGGTCCTGTTAATCTGTCAGATCTGTGTCTCTAAGTAGCACATCTGGACACGGTGATGTGTTTTCAAATCTCTAGGCTTATTACTATTTCATAAACTCCCTTGCAAGTAAAGATTTCAAAGGATGCAGCGATTTTGTCACTCCAAACAGAATCATGTTTTAGGGGGAGTCCTAGGGAGGACTTCCAGACTCTCTTGGTGCCCTGCCCTTCTCCGTCAGCTGTGTGCAGCTGGCCACGGATGTCTCACAAGGCCCGTGGGAACAGAGATCATAGGTACTTGCTACCTAAAGAGAAGACCAAGAAAGGGAGAGGTAGATCTTTAACACTCCTGCCAGGTCCCCAAATGTGGTATGGGAAATCTAATACATAAACATATACAAATGGACTTTTCAGTCGCTATGTATAGAGAATGACTTCCCCAGGACCACAGGAAAAATAAAATCTACTTCCAGACACACTCAAGACATCTTCCAACCGTCACCACTTACTTTGCCAACTGATTAATTACTTGTCTTCTGCCGCCTTGAGGCCTCAGTGGGCCCTTCTCACAGCTTGCGGCCATGTTTGATTCCCCCTGCTCTCTTCTGAAGGGAGACCCCAAGTGATAATTGTTTCCTTGTCACCTCTGGGCTGATCCCGCCTAGTTGCACGCCTCTCTGTGTTTAATTTCTCCTACTTGGAGGTGCCCTCTGGAGCCCTGAGCATCACCAGCTCTCCATGCCCACCTCAAGTTGTCCGTTTCTCTTTGCTTTCACATGTGGTTTCAAGCTCCTGTGCCTGGGCCGGGCATGACACGCTCAGCCCAGTTCTCTGTTTTCCGTACTCACACTCTGCAGACAGGGAAGTGTCATGGTCAACTCAAGTAGCACAGAACTTGTTTCACTCGTGCCTGGCCTGCCAGTGTGCCCCAGTCAAGTGGCCCATCCTCTCTGATTTTCTACTTGTCATTGAGATTGAGGTAACGTAGTTAAAGTAATGGTGCATAGTTGGTGTGTGGTTACTGGTCACTCTCTGGTTGAAGGACTTTATTTTCCATGTGCTTTCTTAAATGACCCTTTGCAAACTCTACACAGATCAGAACATGACCACCGACATAAAACCACTTTTTCTGTGCAGAGCTCCATCTGTTTTCTTTCCATCATCGAGCACTCTTTCTCTCAGCACATGATATGTGTGTCTTTTAAGACATTTACACTCTTATCCTTAATTACTCGAGAATGCTGCTGTAGGAAATATTCACAAGCAATATTTTGCAAGCTTAAAAGTTCCGTTAAGAATGGCTACAGACTCCATTCAATTTAAGGGTCACGGCTACTGCTCTGTAGGATGCCTCAAAGCGGGTAAGCTTGAGACCTTGCCTTTCGGCATTGCACTTTGCCATCTTATAGCAAAGGCTATGAGTTTCCAACGTTGATGCTCATTCTATGATGCCTTCCAGGTGCCCAGGCAAAGACCAACTTGGAAGTCATTATTCTCGCAGGCACTGCGGTGATTGCCATGTTCTTCTGGCTACTCCTTGTCATCATTCTACGGACCGTTAAGCGGGTAACAAGATAATTCCCCTCCAGTCCGTGCGTGCTGGTTTTCATGATTGATGAAAGCTGACTGGGCTTCTTTGAGTTGTTTCTATCCATTGTTATTGGCTCAGTGGGCACATTTTTATTTCAATACTACGGTAACATTCTAGCTCATTTTCTTTGGCTGGACCATGGGCATTAATTGATAGAAATCATTGGAGGGGAAAAAGGTTTGGACTGTCTAATTAATTAAGATTTTAAAACTTAATTCTGCCCTCATTTGGGGGGCAAGGGAACACTGCAGGCATGAATAGAATAGGACTACTCTCAAGCTCTGTGAGTTTTGTTGGAAAATGAGAATGTCAGAATGAGGCTGCTATTAAATGACAATAATAAGTACACAAAACAACGGCCGAACAACAGTGCTTGTATGACTGGGAGGATCGATGCTTTCCAGGCCAGTGAAGGCGAACTGAAGACCGGCTACTTGTCCATCGTCATGGATCCCGACGAGATGCCGCTGGATGAACGCTGCGAACGCTTGCCTTACGATGCCAGCAAGTGGGAGTTCCCCAGAGACCGGCTGAAACTAGGTGCATTTTTAGCTGATGCTCATTTAATGTTGGGTTTAATGTCCCGTCTCCCCTTTTAGGATGATGACGAATCTAGTCTATTCAGATGTTGTGTTTTGCCTCAGAAATGTTAATTCCACCTCTTAAATTTGGGTCATCATCCAGTTAACCTCTTAGAAGTAGGTTTCCTGCATAATCATCAACAATAGGCCATTTGGAGAGTAGAGTGGGATTCGTGTGATAATTAAGGCAGGGTTGCGGACTGTCTGGGTTAAATTGGGTGTGTGGTCACCTTCTCTGGTTGGAGTCTCTGCCTGTCACTTTGGTGGAGTAACAATCCAAGTCTACTTCGTTGTTGCCATTACTGTCAATCCTAGGTAAACCTCTTGGCCGTGGTGCCTTTGGCCAAGTGATTGAGGCGGATGCTTTTGGAATTGACAAGACAGCAACTTGCAAGACAGTGGCTGTCAAAATGTTGAAAGGTAAAAGCAAAATTATTTGGTTCTCATTCGCTCTATCTTCTGTCATTCATTAAATGTGAGGCAAAGCTTAATCCGTAGCTTTGTGCATAGGTGGGTCAGCTTGCCAAGCATGTGGTCAGCCTATGTGATGCTGTTGTGAAAACTGGAAGAAGCCCTTTTCTCTATAGCCTCATGCCATATGCATGGCCTTGTGCGTGGCCAGGCAAGCAGAGTTGGGGGAGGATTTCACCTACCTTGTGTGGGACCCTTTGTGCTGAGCTCGGCTTTCATCGTTGTATTTAGTGGTGCTGGTTATGGAGGAAAAAGAACCTTGCTGTATTAAAATTGTTTCTTAACCTGTTAAGGTGTTAGGTAAACCCCTAGAAACATGAAAAGGGATTTGATGTAAGTAGAATGCAAAAATACTTTGTTCTCTAGAATTGGATTATGTAAAATAATTTCACCTATAAAATTGAACTTGGAAAACATAAATGGCTATGGTAAGAAAAAAACCTGAGGGTTATTCTTTAAAAATTAGACGCTTCATAAATAATTATCAATACTAATTATTAATCAACTGTGGTCTGGGCATTCTGATTTGGAGAGGTGATCCATATATAGCTTTATGCTCCAATTATGATGCACTTTCATTGGTAAAGACAGTACTGCTGGTTCTTTGCCAGTGGGTCCTGTACCTTTCAAGACATTCTCTATCCTTTTGCCTTTTCTCCCTGGTGGCCTAGGCGGTGTGTAATTCTGAGGTAGCACATCAGGCCCTGAGGTATGCGGCATGCCTGTGAATTATAGAGAAGTGCAGCAGCCATGTAAGGTCAAATGCGCCGTCTTGGCCCCCCCAGTGTCGTGCTCTACCTGGTCTACCAGAAGGTCTTTGTTAAGTTGCCTTCTCAGCACAGATCAGTTGCCGCATCAGTGTACACATGAGGATATGGAAAATGTAGCATTGCTTCTTTCAGAGGAAGCAGTCAGCGGGTCAGGTCCTAAAGAGCGTAGTATACCTGAAATGCAAGAACACAGCTTTGTGCAAGAAGAGAATCTGGGCATGATTCCATTGCAGTTACATTCTCTCCTTTGCAGAGGACTTCACAGTGGATTCCTCTAAATATCTAACATTTGGGGTTCAATGAAAGATTTGATTTTAAATTAGAACATAAAATTTAAACTTGCTTTTTCAAAAAATGCAGCTGGGTGTAGATTAGGCTATAGTTATGTTACCCCGGGATGCCAAGTTGCACAGTTTTATGTAATGGAGAGAAAGGCATCAATAATGCTAAGGTGGGGGCCACATTTCTGATCTTCCTCTTTATCTTGAATTTGTAGAAGGAGCAACACACAGTGAACACCGAGCGCTCATGTCTGAACTCAAGATCCTCATTCATATTGGCCACCATCTCAACGTGGTCAACCTTCTGGGTGCCTGTACCAAGCCAGGAGGTGAGTTGCTGTGGGTGTTTCCGGGGGCCTGATTTTCACACATGCTGCTCTGCTAGTATTTGAGAGAAACAGTGCAGCTCCCACTGCTTTGAATTCCTTAACTTGGAATATTTTGCAGCTTCCTAGATAGACATATATTTCATGGATATTTAATGAGCACTATAATTAGATTATTCTAAAGCTTCCTCTGAATTAAGGGATGTCTTACCACTACATATTCAGATTGGAAAAATAAACTTCCCCCAGAGACTTGAAAACAAAAGACCTTAAGAGTGGTTTCTGTCCCTGCTCCCTCCCCGCAGTGGAGGCATCTCTGGTAATGGCACTGAAAAGCAGATGGATAGAGTTTCTCAAACTTGGGTGAATGTCATGGTGGCATTGCCTTTCGGAAAAAGAAAAACTGTAAGTTAGGGGGATTGGAGCTAGCTGATTTGTATAATTCTATTCTAATGAAAAGTTGTATGTAGCCGCTTTGTGAGGTAATTTTGGGTTTGTTGGTATATTAAGCACTTAATGAGAACAAGTTTTCCTTGCTTCACATGCAATCTGTCTGCAGGGCCTCTCATGGTGATTGTGGAATTCTGCAAGTTTGGGAACCTATCCACTTACCTACGGGGCAAGAGAAATGAATTTGTCCCCTACAAGGTATGTGGTTTCCTACCTCAGCTTCAGCCTGTGAAATGGAGGAGAATTCAGAACGGTATAGGTTAGCTTCTTAGTTGAAATTCTGTGAGGAGCTTGTGAGGAATCTTCTCGCATTACCTCTGGACAGTTCTAACTTCCTCTTTTACATTCTGGGGAGCTTGTGCTGCTCTTGTTTTAATTTCGCACTTTAATCTCCTGGTCCATTACGGATGGTGCCAGCGTTGGGGAGAAAGTAGATGTGATGAAGGAAAGGGAAGCACGAGGAAGGAACAGTTCTGGATAATGCTTTCTCTGCCCTGGCCACTTCTGGCTGTGTGTAATGTGTATTCCTCTGTAAAGGACACAATGGCCGGCGTGGTGCTGCATGCCTTGTTACCTCAGATACTTGGGAGGTTGAGGGAGGAGGATCACAAGATCAAGTCCAGCATGGGCAACTTAACAAGACCCTGTCTTACCATAAAAAGTAAATAAGGGCTCCCTGGCTTTAGTCTCCATTACCACAAACAACAACAACAAAACAAAATCAAAGGGCGTGGCGCGCTAAAGTTGTGATGTGTCTGCGTGCAACTTAAGATAAGACGTTTATCTCAGCTAACCAAGGAGCGTGCCTTTGTGGAAGAAACCCTGTTGTGTACCATACTTGCCCTAGGTTTCAACTCAGAAACTGCATAATCCTGAAGCTCATGTCTTTCGTGTTTGCTTTTTAATAGTTTCGATGGTGTCTACAGTTTACGGGCTTGTTCTCAAGGGTATTGCTCATGTGCTTCTTTATAGACCAAAGGGGCACGGTTCCGTCAAGGGAAAGACTATGTTGGGGAAATCTCTGTGGACCTGAAACGCCGCTTGGACAGTATCACCAGTAGCCAGAGTTCAGCCAGCTCTGGGTTTGTTGAAGAGAAATCCCTCAGTGACGTGGAGGAAGAAGAAGGTACCTGGCCTTGCTTCCTCCATGCCCAAATGTGTGCTCATAGAAGAATAGACAAGGTTGCAGGGTGTTGCCTAGAATTTGGTCATGGGAAGAGCTTCCTATCTGAAAGAGATCTGAAATATTTAATAGCTTCTCTTCAGTCTCTCCAGAAATGCAGTGGTCAAGCCCTGAATGAACAGTGTGCTATGTTGAGAGGCAAAACAGAACTGTCCCAATAAATCTGGTAGCCCATGTGCACTAAGCAGTTGCTCACAATCTAACCAGCATTCTCAAAGTGCTGCATCAATGTTCATTAGCAGGAGAGATCCAGCGCAGTGTTTGTAAGGGGAAAGGAGGCTCCCCGGTTTTCCATTAGCCTCTGCGTGGCTGTAAATGGCCAAGCCCACTTTACCAGTACCATAGAAATCTTTCTGTTCATCATTCCCAGCCTTCTGCCAGGCAGTTTAGTAGTCATTTGTTGTTTCTGCCCTACCCCAAGTGGCATATGGCATCTTCCTCCAGGCTGCTTCCTCGGTGGAGCCTTGGTGAATTGACTTGTCTTTTTCCACTTGTGTTCCCGATGATAGTTTAGTGCTTTTTATGGGGAGCTGGGTTTCAGCTTAACCTCCATTCCTTCAGTCAGCTCCAAGAATACACAGTATCTGCTCTCCTCAGAAGGAACAGAGATTGCTGCATGGATGGTAGTGGGGCTTCTTAACTTATGGCTCCTCCGGAGGTGTGAATTTAGAAGAATCCAATCATGAAACAGTGGAAGAAATTCACACAAGTCTACAGATAGAACTTAAATCTGACCTCTTTCCCTTAGAAGCTAAGTGGGCAGCATGAGGCTGGGTCTTGGCTAAAAGATTGTCTCAGCCTCACGTAATGGGGCCCGCTGCTGAGCAGAGCCCCTCTCCTCTTCTCTCACACAATGGCGGGCCAGTGAGTTGGAGACCCAAAGGACTGAGGTAATACGATAGAGTAGGAAGAACACTGGCCTGGAATTTTGCCTTCATTCTTCATTTAGGAAATGTGAGGTTCTCATCAATTGTATCTGAAGAGCCCTTTAGTCCTAGGTATAAAATAAGTCATTGATAAGAAGGTTATTATTATAACTGAGTGTGCTTACTCTGGTATTTGTGTCCAGGAAAGAAGCCATGAGTCTTATCTTATCTGATCATCCTTAGGAGATCATTGTGAAACACCTATTAACGTATTCATGTTTATTTGTACTAGTTGCACTGCGGTAAATACTACCAATTTACGTAAATTCATCCTTCTCGCATGTCCTGTTAGCTCTCATTCATATCCTTAGAGGAAAAAGCATCCTTGGTGCAGGCCAAGTTGAATGTATTTACAGCACTTTTTAACGTGAAAGCAAGAGAAGTACATCTATTTCTGGTATTTTTAGTTATCTGTTGTAGAGTGTGGTTTGACCTTTGGTCTTTGTCCCAGGACAATGCCTGGAGAGAAAAGATTTGATGACCCTGAATATTGTTGTGTTATTTTTAGACTTCTTGAAATGAAACTATTGTTTATCCCTCTGGGTACATGAAAAAAAAAAAAAAACCAACACAGTAGCTTAGAACAGCAAATTTGAAAAGATCTTCTCTATGCCAATTTACCTCTATCTACCTTCTAGATTTACTGGTCTAATTTGACTAAACTGCAAAAACTAGTATTTTTCCTTAGGGGTATGAAAAAGGCTGATAATACTGGGACTTAGCAAATTGACAGAAGATAGAGGCATTTTCTCTCTGATTCTGTTTTCTGAAATTTACCTCCCAAGTCTTGAAAAGATTACAGTAGCAGACTCGGAGAGTACTCACTTGTGTCCTCCTACCTCCTGCAGCTTCTGAAGAGCTGTACAAGGACTTTCTGACCTTGGAACATCTCATCTGCTACAGCTTCCAGGTGGCGAAGGGCATGGAGTTCTTGGCATCACGTAAGGTAAGACAGGTCAGAGGGGAGAGCAAGCTCTTCGGATCACAGGCTTGGAAACAAGAGGTCCAGAGCCAGTCACTTGTGTTTGTATGGGTTGGAAATTCATTCGTCGCTTGGAAGACTCTTTAAAGAGGTCTACTGGAGAGGCTCTGTTTCTGCTGATGAGGAATTTCGTGGAATTCATTCAAATAATGAATCTTACTGAGCATCTACTAAGTGCCAGGCTGTCCTGCAAGCACAGCTGTGGTAAACCAATAAACAAAGCTCTCCACCTTCACAGAGTTTGTATTCTAGTGGATAAACAGTCAGTAAACAGTATAAAGAAGTACTGTGCATAGTGGGTTAGGTAGGGGTGTAGGTATTGGGGAAGAATAAAGAAGGAAAGGCTTAGCATGTGGAGGAGGAGCGTTTCTGTGTGTGCATTTCCTTCTGTGTGCGTGTGCATCCATCTTAGACAAGGTAGACAAGGAAAGCTTCATTAAGAATGAGGTGTTTGAGCAGTAACCTACAAGAGCTGAGGAATGAGTCTTGCAGATACCTCGGTATAAGAGCTTATTTTTAATTTATTTTACATTCATAACCATCCATCAAAAATATTTGTTAATAGTATAATTAGAAACCAGGAAGGACGGCTTCAGATGGGAGTGATTAAAAGAGCTAAAGTTAGAAAGTCGGCCAAACAAAGGCTGAGGTGGGGACGTGACAAGTTACAAATATTTTGAAGGTTGTAAACACCGCAAGAGCGGGGAGAGGTTAGTGGAAGTCACCACCAACCCTGGAGAGGGTAAGATGCAGTGTTCTACATTAGACAGGAAAAATTCAAATTAATGTTCAGGAAGGGCTATCTTTTGACAAAACGAACTTGCTGCAGCCTTCTAGGGAAAGAAAGATTTAACTGTTTCTTTCTAAGTCACAGTGACATTCCTAATCAATTTTTTGCCCTGAAGTTTAAAGCTTCTCATAGCCCTACGAGCCTCAGGTTCTTAGATGCATCTACTGGTAACTCTGGTGTACTCTCCCAAGAGGAAAGGAAAGAAATAGGGTCGTCCTGGGTTTTCCAAAAGAGAGAGGCCTTTTTCCCTCCTGGGAGGTTATGCTTTATTATTATTATTGCTTTATGAAATCCAGAGCCCAGTGAATCAGGCAGGAAATGGCATTGCAGTTGGGTGCAGAATGGGAATCTTTAACTTTTTTTGCATCTACCAGGTGATGTCTCACATACGGCCTGGCTTGTTGGGCTAAAAACGGTAGCCCTGTGGTTGTAGGGAAACTGGGAAGTATTGTCTGATTTTGGAATCCCAGTTTTGTTCGATCATGTAAGACAATGTGCTTCTGAATGTGCTTCATCTAGGGGAGGGTGTTACAGAGACCCACGATGCGGGGTGGGTGGACTCAGGGCCGCCCAACTTTTGCAATCGCTCCTACACTGACTGAAGACTGTCATCTAAGCCTTTCATTCATTTCTGATGTTCTCCAAGGTTCTTACTCTCTGACAAATGTATCCTGTGGGAGTTTAGATGAGAATTAAATGGTGAATATGGTTGCTGCTTAGTAGTGGGGCATTAGATGAAATTAGGAGAGAGAAAGAAAGGAGAAATTGAAAAACTGAAAAGAGTAGAAGATAGATTTAAAGCCAGGGTGTGTTCCATTTTACTTTTCTGGGTACTAGAAAATCAACCTGATGTGTGATAGGCCAGCATTGCCATAACAGACCTTTATGGTAAAACTGACACCCCACCTGCAACTGCCTGTCGGGACCAGGCCAGTTTCGCTTTCGTATGGAGTAGAGAAACCAGCCAAGTGCCCCAGACCAGTGAGAGTGTCCTGCTCCTGATTTCCGTGCCTTCATTCAGATCGGTCCATTGTGGGACCGCCTCAGAGTAAAGCATTTTTAACCATACATGGCATTAGGCAAAAGGGATGTGTGGATGTGACCAGAGACACATTTTTAATTGTGTCCAACAGCAGTCTATTTATGATTCCATCATCATACTATAACTTCATTACTCAACTCCCGAGGTTGAGGCTCTTTATGGAGTAAGCAGATGTGTGCCGGTGAAACTCACAGACTTTTTTCCTGCAGTTTTATAAAAGGTACCAACCCGGCCCTTGTTAATCAGTTGGTTCTCTGAGAAGAATTTTTTTGGAAGCATGAGGTCACCACAGATGTAGAAGAGATCTTGTGTGCTGAAACCTAATACACACACGGTTCTGTTTGTAGTGTATCCACAGGGACCTCGCGGCTCGGAATATCCTCTTGTCGGACAAGAACGTGGTCAAAATCTGTGACTTTGGCTTGGCCCGAGACATCTATAAAGACCCGGATTATGTTAGAAAAGGAGATGTAAGTTTCAAAGATGAATCTGTGTTGTGTTGCAGGATTCAGACCCCTCATAGCAAGCTTCAGGGCCTGTGTTTGGGAACAAAGAATGTGTTTTTTTTTGTTCCTACAGATACTTGTTAATTTGGGTTCTTATTCCTTGTCTTCCACTCCCTTAGGCCCGCCTCCCTTTGAAATGGATGGCCCCAGAAACAATTTTTGACAGAGTGTACACAATTCAGAGTGATGTGTGGTCTTTCGGTGTTTTGCTGTGGGAAATATTTTCCTTAGGTAAGATGCTTCTCTTTGTCCCTTTGTCCAGATTCCACGTAGGATAGTAAAAGTTGACCTCCACTATGTCTTTTCCTGTCCTCTATTTCACCTCAGAAAGTAGTATTTCTTAGAAACTTTGCATTGCAAAATCTAGAAGGAAAAAGCAGGTACATAGATAATAAGGATGTGCAAGAATCAGTCTCAGAGCTTTCTACAAAAGATCAAATCACATAATGTCCCTTCCTTGTTTTATTCTAGGTGCTTCTCCATATCCTGGGGTAAAGATTGATGAGGAATTTTGTAGGCGATTGAAAGAAGGAACTAGAATGAGGTCCCCTGATTATACCACACCAGAAATGTAAGACTTTAAAAAAATGCTCTTCTGTTCTCCGTCTTTGCTCACAAATTCTTCCTTCCTTGAGAGCTTTCTGTTACGTATACTTCTTTATGGTTTGGTTTGTGTCCTACTTTTCCCCTGCAGCCTTCCTTGGTAATTTCAAGCACAGAGTCATTGTTTCTTGAAGCAATAGCCAGTGATTCTCCCTACCAAGTATCTTGTTTTTATTAGATGTTAATGTGTCATTAATGTGTTAATGTATCTCGTTTTTATTAGATGTTAATGGCCATGTACTTGAACTTCCCAGGGTAGATCTCTGTGCATGCCTATTTAGCTTCAGGGCTCATGATTGCTCTGTATAAATGTTCACCACCCATGTGCTTACTTTGAGTATCAGATCCGGGAGGATAGAGGCAGTTAATGAAATCAGTGCTTTGCTTCTCAAGGTACCAGACGATGCTTGACTGCTGGCATGAGGAGCCCAACCAGAGACCCACGTTTTCAGAGTTGGTGGAGCACTTGGGGAATCTTCTGCAGGCGAATGCTCAGCAGGTCTGTAAACCTTAGTCTGAGAAGCGTCTACAAAGAGTATAAGAACCTGTGTCTAAGAACTCTCACAGCTTGAATACTGTCCTGGCCACCATGCTGTCCTTTTGGACACTGAATAAGGAGCCCAAGTCTTCCAGATCCAAGCAAACAATGCTATTCTTAAGCTGAGAGTTTGGCTTACAGCCTGGGAGTAGACTGCTCCTGCGCATGACTACTATCTTTTTGGTCTAATACTCTTCTGAAGTTAAAAAAGCAAACAAACAAAAAGCCTGGCTGATTCACACCATATCAACAATGGAAAACATTTCTAGGAATTATTAAATAAATTCTGCAGGCAAAAATATATCTGAACTGTGCAGAATAGATGTTTCTCCCCTCCTTGGTTAAATCTCAGGGCTCCATGATTTTCCTATCACGTGAAGCTGTACCCTTAACCAGCAAGTTAACCTCAGTCAGCATCTCCTACTACTGTGGAGGCCAATTTCTTCTTTCTTTTCCTGTCAACAGCTGGGGACAATGGGTTGAATATGTTTTTGTTTTTTTTTTTTTTTTACCAATAAATCTTATAAACATTTAAATGTGTCAGATTACCCCTTCTTTTTTTCTTCAAAAATAATGTTAAATTGTGCCACCTCTTCTCAAAAGGCCCATCCTTTGTTTTTAAGTTGTTTATTGCTTTTCTGTAGACTGTCATCCATTCCCTCCATTGCCCTGAGATGCGCAGGCTCACATCGACGCTGTGGCCTTCGTGGGGCCCGGCTCCTGTGGAAGGGTCGTCGGGAGAAGTGGTTTCTTGGCTCCCAGTAGCTCTGTGTGTCTGGTTGTTTCATCCAGGACCGCGGCCTCCTTGGTCTTCACAGGAAGCGTACTTCCTGTGGTCCCCTTCCCCACCTCATTTATCTGAGTTTCTCTAATTTACCTTCATGCATGCGTCCCTTTCAAGTGTTCTTTTGTTTTTGACAGACCACTTTCAACATTGTCTTCAAGACCTATGTTCAGGTTCAAAAGCAATGCACCTCATAGCCAAGAAGCCCCTGTGGTCTTTGTTTTCACGAAAAGACTCTTGAAGGACCAAAGCCCTTAACAATGGTCTGTGTTTATTGTTTCAGGATGGCAAAGACTACATTGTTCTTCCAATATCAGAGACTTTGAGCATGGAGGAGGATTCGGGACTCTCTCTGCCTACCTCACCTGTTTCCTGTACGGAGGAAGAGGAAGTGTGTGACCCCAAATTCCATTATGACAACACAGCAGGAATCAGGTACTGTATAGAGCCGGCATCCCCTCGGGGGGCTTCAGGGCCATCTCAGGGAGAGGGGGAGGGAAGGGAAGGCATTTTGTAAAGTTGCCATGTCCCACGTCCTCCTAACGTGAGCCCTGAGTCGCGTGTAAAGGGAGCTGCTCCTTGAGGAGCTCGGGGGAGGTGAGCTGCGTCCCATCTGCGGCTCATGTTGCTGCCGCGGCTCTTCCTCCAAGAATTCTCAGCCCTGCAGCTGCAAATAGCTGGCATGCCACAGTGAGTTCATCTCAAGAAAAACAGGCCAGTCTTTACAGAGACATCTGTATTGAAATTATGCCCCTGTACACTTTTATTAATGGGAATTAAGTAGCTTTGGAGAGATTCAGGAAGGAAGAGTTCTGTGCACATCTGAAAACACACGGCTCTCTGGTGAGGACGCAGCGTGCCGCAGAGCTGTGTCCTGAATTAGACGAGACCAGTCTCAGAAGCTCCTCTCAAGTCTGATCCTCCGCATTTTGTTTGCCTAGTGGGACATCTGGGCTTACTTGAAGCTCACGCCCTACCGTGCCGGCCTGATCTGTGAAGGGTTCTGAAGGCAGCTTGCTTTTCTGCCTCTCCCAGCACCTGTGCCTAGGGAAAGAGTGATCTGCTGTCCTACAGTGTGATACTAAGATTGCCTTCCCTATGCCTGGGGCTTCTTCGCTTTGCTTTGGTGCTTTCCTCCTCTGGCTGAGCCCCGCTGACATCGCAGGTCTGGCCCGGCCTCCTCAGAGTACTGAGGCTGCAAGAAGGGTGAGGGGCTCTCGAATGTGTCTTGGCCCTTGGCCAGAGTGCCACAAAACCGTGCAGGCTGAGGAGACACGGGGCAGTCGCCCCGTGGGAACCTGCGGGATGAGAGAGGAAAGCAAGCTCTTAGATGCCAACAAGAGAGCTGCCCATTCATTGATGCCAAGAATATTCGGGCTTTTTTGAAGAACGCTTCTATATTATCAGATTTTGCCCCAGGAGAATTCTAGTCTGGTGGGGGAGAAACTGGGACCTGTTTTGGGGTAGGTGCTGAACATGAGGCTGGGCTGGACCTTGTGGGGCACTGCAGTGTGGTGGGTAAAGATCCAGGCCCTAGAGTCAGATAGAAGTGGGTGGGGCTTCCTGGTCTGTGGTTTAGCAGCCGTGCGGCAGGTTACAAACCCTCCGAGCTCTCAGTGTCTTTATCTGTGAAGTGAGGCAAGGCCACGGGTGCTGTCTGAAACACTGGTTTAGAGAATTACGTAACACAATGCATACCTCAGGGACCGGCAGTTGAAAGCAGCTGCTAAAGGTGAGCTGCTGAGTGAGTTGCTCACAGTTATATTCCTGAGATGAAACCCATCCCTCCGATGCCTAACTCCAGGCTTTGCTCCAGCACCAAGGCGGGGGCCTCAGAGAGAGCGGGAGTCCTGGAATGAGACCACAGTTCCACTGTCACGGTTGGAAATTCCTACTTCCGGTTCACCTGGCCTTCTAGCGTGACCGTTATTCCCGCACCACTGTCATCTCTGTGTCCCTCATCAGAGAGCCACTTGATCGTGAGCTGTCCCCTCGTATCTCTGTGACCATGTAGAGTGAGGATCTAAGCTGGCAGCCTCTTGGCTCGCTGCAGGCTTTGCATATGTTGCTGAGCAGGAGACGAAGTCGTGTTTGAGTAACAGCAGGGCCACATGTGATGCTGGGTCTAAAGTGGGACTGCTAGCACTTAGCGCCAGACGCGTGGACAGATGCGATGCCACGCTGGCCTGGCTCCTGTTTCCTGTCTGAGTTTGGAACTGGTCGGTCCAGTCCAGTTTCTCTCCTAGCCAGCCATGTACTGAAAGCTAAAGTGGGAACTGGAGGCTTCTGTCTGCGTCCCTTCCTAACTGCCTCTGCTTTTTTTTTCCTCTTCATAAAAATAAAACTCACGAACACCCTGTTATCAGCTGGGTTCAAAGACAGGCAGAAGAGGCGTCTGCACTCTGCGTGCTTCGCTGCGGGGCTCTGCCCCTCTGAGGAGAGTGCAGTGTGCCCGGCTGCCTTTCAGGGGACGCATTCCATTCCCTGTCAGGTCCCCAGCCAAGGAGAAGAGCTGAGTCTTTCTCTCTTGGTTCAGTCTTATAGTTTTCAACTCCATTGCGTTATAAATGGAGCTGGACAGAGACCTCACTGCGGGAGCCAACCTCATGATTTGTTGTCCCTTTAAACCATTTTACAAGTATTTGTTCTGCGTTTATTTAGAGAAGAAGCTGCAAAGTGTGTGGGGAACAGGCCGCTTGGGTCTAGACTGGGCTTTTTCTCTGATTTTTCCTGTGGGTCAGTTCTGGCTCTAGGTTTGCATGCTTTCTGCGAGAACACACATTCACTGGACTCATCTCTCCCTGAGGGCAGTTTGGGGACCAACTGTCACTGCTTTATTAGTTCCCCTGGGTGTTTCACCTCCTACTCCAAGCAGCTTAGCGGAGATTTCTTTGCAGTTCTCTTGCGGAGTAAGCCTTTGGCATAGCCTTTCCGTCATTTTGGTTCATTGCTAAGTAAACACCCCTCAGACTGATGCCAAGGACGTGTGCTGGTTAGGTGTTCCTGGATTTGGCTCTGACATTAGACTGCTTGGAGTGGGACCCTCTGTTCTCCACCTTGTTCTCTTCCATCCCCACACTGCGAGGTCAGCTCTCACGGGGGCCAGGGACAGAGCTGTGCGCATACTGAGTGCTTATGAAGGACTTGAGCAGCCGTGGCTGCTGCTGTCTTCTTCCAAGGAAACAGTTTGGGTGATAGGAAAAGGAACCCTGCCTGTGCTTTGGGGTTCGCAGAGCTACTTTGAGTTCCAGTTCTACAGCTTATTAGCCATTTTCTCCTTGCGTCTGGGCTTCCTCGTCTCCATACGGAAGGTAGTAAGAACTCTTATTTCCTCGTGTTGTGAGGAGCAGATGCATCAACATCTGTGAAAATGCTTTGTTAACCGTGCAAGACCGTGCCACTTCTTAAGTTACTGGGTGCGGAATTCAAGGAACTGTCCTAAGGCAGCTGCCTCGGTGCCCAAGCCACTGACCCTGGGTGGTTCTGGGCCCAGACACCTGGCAAGCCCGTGGACACTCCCTTTCCGATCCCGTTGCCCGCTTTCTGCTAGATGAGTGTCATGTCTCCTCACTGGCTTCACAGGCCTCGGTCTTATCTCAAGCCAGAGTCAACTTTTTTTTTTATTTTAAAAAGTAAAAGAAGGACAACATAGCAGTAGAGGGATTCACCGAATTACAGACAAAGTGATAGAACATTATCAATGGTTGTTATTTTACCTATTGGTATCTTCAAGATAGTTTCTCAGGAAAACAAATAGACAAATAATAGTGAGTTACAGGCAAAAATGGCAGGAAATTATCAATGGTTGTTGTACTATACCTTGGTTTCTCCAAAGTGGTCTCTAGGGAAAACAAATAGAGCTATGAGTGATCAATCAACTAATCATTGACTATTCTCAGTGGTTGTTGTTGAAAACACATAGTAACAAACATACATCCATTTAGGAAATAGCATAGGAACAATACAAACATTACAGAGTTATGGACAGATTGGTAGGAAATCATCAGTGGCTGCTGCAATACATGTTGGCCTCCTCAAAGTGGTTTCTCAGGAAAACAAAGATAGGCAAGAAAGACCCAACAAGTAGTTACAGCCCAAGGGTTGCAAGAAATAACGGATTACCTCCTCATGAGTGACTCCCCTCACTGAGGTGTGACGGTTGGATCAACTTTCTAAAGAGCTGGCCCTCCCATGCCACTGTCTTTCCGTGGCTCCTCATTACCCTCGAAATAATGATGCAAGCGTTCTAGTTGTGTGACTTTGGGTAAGTTCTGTGCCTCAGTTCTTGATTTGAAAAGTCGGCACGGTAACACCACTCCTGGAGAGGAGATGCCCTTGTGAAGATGCCTTGCAGTAATCGTGGAAGAGCATTCAGCCCGGTACCTGACACATGCTGACGTCTCAATAAGGGCTTCTGAGTAGGTGAAAGGATGACTGTTGACTATAGTAAGAGCTGTTTTTGATAAGCACTACTTTCAGGAGCTGGAATTAGGAAAAAATGGGCTTTGGCTGCTCCCTGTGTATCCTGTCCTATTTCTTTTGGGGCTTGCTCAGTGAGGATGTCACCTGTAAGATCACTTTCTCCTCCATGAGGGAGGGAGCCGGCCTCCAGGAGAAGGGGAGGGAGACCCCGCTTGCTTTCTTGTCCGTTGGCCCCGCCTCTGTGCAGCGTGTTCTGGAAGGCTGCCTGCAGCAAGGAGCATGCTGGGTCAGAGTGAAGAGAGTGTTAGCTGGCCCCGTGGGCCCTTCTGGTGGAAAGGACCCCCCTCTTTCCACTTGGGCTCTAAGTGGCTTTGCTGTGGTGGCCCAGGCTTACCCAAGGCCACGTGTCAGGGAGTGAACATCCTCCCGAGAAGAGGTGATTTGCTGTCTGAAAAGTTTCCCTGTGTGCACCCTGAAAGGAACGTGTACATTCTGGACTTCAGAAGAGGAAGACAAGCCTTGGTTGGTAGAGCATTACTCTTCCGAGGAACACGAAGGCCCACATTTGCCGTCTCTCCTTCTTCCCAGGAGCCCTGTTGGCTGGAGAGAAATATCTGTTGCCAGTACATTTTTCAGTGGAGTAGTAGAGGCACAGAACTACACGTGGCTTCCTCAAGTTTATACAGTCAGTGATAGAGCCTAAAATATACAAACTATCTTGAGATTCTCGAGTTACTGCCTTTTCCTGAGACAGGCAACTCTAGGGCTAAGTGGAGGGGACTGTGAGACTCAGTCTACCTTTCCTTCCGCATGCTAGACCTGTCTTACATGGAGGAGGGAGTTGTCTTCAGGTCACTGCTGGGGTGATCTTCTTTAGGGAGACCTATAGGTATTTCCTCCACTCGGTTTGATCTGTGAGCGCTATCCAGAACAGTTTTCTGGGAGATGGCCAGAAAGGTGGGAGGCGCCTGGTGATATACCCGGAGCTCAGTGGAAAACTTGCACAGTCAAGAGGCCGAGGAGATGGCAGCCAATCGCCCAGTCTGCTGTTGTTGTCTTCAGTCCAACCGTGAACCTCAGAAGCATGATTCAAAGGAGAGGGCCTCCTCCGCACTCCTCAGTGAGATTATACTTTTAAATGGACTTTGACAGGAAATGAAGCCTTCAGTGTGTGCTAGCAAAGAGAGACTTTTTTGTTTTGTTTTTCTTTTTCCAGAGGATGTTTTGAAGGTTGCTATTAAACTTGTGGTTGAAAGATAATGCACTTAGGTATCACTTGTGGTATCTGCAGCCAAATATACCGCCACTCAAATACAAATATTTGTTCTTTTGCAGTCAGTATCTGCAGAACAGTAAGCGAAAGAGTCGGCCAGTGAGTGTAAAAACATTTGAAGATATCCCATTGGAAGAACCAGAAGTAAAAGTAATCCTAGATGTAAGTACATCTTTTAAAAATAGTCTTAGAAATAATACCAAGGATGAAATACTAGCTAGATAAATATTAGCCTAAGCATTAGAGTCTTGGGGCCTCATTATAAGGCTGTCCTTGAGGGTATGTGCTGTGGGGTCATTATGGAGCTGGAGCTTTGGTTTTCCCATAAAAAAGAAGCCCTTGTCCAAGGCTCCGGATGGTCCAGCTTTCCTCCCTATTTCTCTACCTTTAGGCAAATGGTCACACTACAGAGAGGGCTGGAGAGGGATCTTCGGCTTCTTGGTACAGTCCTTTCCCCCGTGGCCTCGGTTTACTCCTAGGAAGTAGTCGCTTCCTTCGGTAGCTTGCACAGTTTTCAGCTATGATCCCTTTACCTTCCTCAGTGGGACATTGGAGGGAGTGTATTGTTTGATAGATGGGTTAAGAAATCAGTTTCATTAAATAGCTGCTCAGTGTCTGCCTCGGTCAACTGTGCCATCCCCTTGTGTCTTGAAAAGGACAACCAGACGGACAGTGGTATGGTTCTTGCATCGGAGGAGCTGAAAACTTTGGAAGACAGAACCAAATTAGCTCCGTCTTTTAGGTAAGACTTAGATAAATTATCAAAACAGTTTTCCGTAGGAATTTTTAGAAGCAACTAGAGACTTTCACTGCAGGTGCAGCTTTCCCTTCTGGTATCTTTGCTAGTTGCGAAGTTAGCATCCTAAAGTAGCAATCTAACAAAGAGCTGACACAAATCAAACAATGAAAGGAAGTGACAAGTCTGAAAATGTTCTGAAATAAATGAGGATTTGGTTAATTTTGGTGACCGAATGTATCAATGCAAGGGTGTCTCTGAGCATCCTTAGTAGGTGAGTAGTTTCTCTGGTGCTGACCAAACAACCAAGAGATTATTAGATGCGATCCCTAAAACTGTTGATAAGATTAAAATCTTTGTGGACTCTGAAGAATCCTCAAGTTGGTAATTAAATTGGTACTTCTGTGCATAAGAAGTGTGGTATGTAAATAGGTAAGTATCTACTTAGATAAAAGACTGAAATGTCACTGCCTGAATTATTAAGTACTTAATGATAGGAAAGTATTATATTTGTTTTTGAGCTTACTGTCCCTCATATGGCTTAGTAAGAATTTATTGTAGCTTTCAGTAGTTGTACCCACTGTCGACATAACAAAATTCATTAAAAAAAATCTATCTTTATAAAAATAATAGGAAGAAAGTAGCTATTTATTTGCTGTGGGATTCATTCTAGGTAAGAATAGAAAAGATTTTGGATCTTCATGTAATGTAACTGTTACATGAAATGAGAATACCTATGGGCTTTTGAGTGATGCTTGTACAATAATAATAACAATAATAGTACCATTGTATTATTTTATTGCTTTGTTTAAGGCCCAGTAGGAGAGCTAATCACATGTTTCATCTGTTGATTCAAAACATTTATTCAGCAACTACTGTGTGCCAGGCCCCATGCCACTGCCTAAGACACAAACTAATTTTAGAGGATTAGATTGAAAGAAAACTTGTATTTCTAGTTCTTTCAAATAATTTTTAAACCATATGTGAACACAGATTCAATAAAATCCCTTTTTGGTGCTTTTTAACATGAGCAGTTTGTAAAATACCTATAAAGGACAAAAGTCACCTTAGAATGACCTGAGAAAGTGTAAGTCCTTCATAAAAAGCAACACCCCCTGCATTTCTGATTTGGACGTGATTCCTATGCCTCTGAAAACAGTCTGCTGTTGCTGCTGAGTGATGGGGTGCTCGGTGCATCTGAGGAATGTGGTTTTGATGAATAAAAAGCAGTTTTTGACATGTCTGGCTTGACGTACATACGCTTCAAGTTAACTACTTTAAAGTTGCTCAAGAACTTCATCAACACCCCACACCGGTGGTAGCCCCCTCATTACACAGTGGGGCGAGCACAGTGAGCTCTCAGAACACCCTAGCTTCCTTGAATATCATGGAAGGATCTGTTGGTGCCTACCACAGTGTACAAGCTTGTTCGTGTGCAAGGCCATATAAATTTTCCGTGGGTTGAGCCTTTGCATCACTCAGCAGAGCTGCCTTTCATCTCGTCCCAGGCTTGAAAGACTTGGACCTGAGTAGAGGACTTATCTGCAGCTACTAATTTGTGCTGGTACCTGAGAATAGCCATTGTCTATGTAAACCTCCTATGCTGATCAGCGAAGGGGAGACGTAGGAGGCTGTGTCTGCGGGGAGATTACAGCCCGCTTGGAGCTGGGAATGGCTTGGGGTGAAAAGCCAAAGGACTGCCTTTCTCTTCCAACTCACTGGCTTGCTGTTTCTTTCCCAGTGGAATGGTGCCCAGCAAAAGCAGGGAGTCCGTGGCATCTGAAGGCTCCAACCAGACCAGCGGCTACCAGTCTGGGTATCACTCGGATGACACAGACACCACTGTGTACTCCAGCGAGGAGGCAGAACTTTTAAAGCTGGTGGAGGCTGCACAGCAGCCTGACTCTGGGACGGCACTGAGCTCTCCTCCTGTTTAAAAGGAGGCACCCACATACCCCACTCCCGGAAATCACATGAGAGGTGCTGCTCCGATTTTCAAGTGTTGTTCTTTCTACCACCAGGAAGTAGCCACATTTGATTTTCATTTCAGAAAAAGGACCTCAGACTCCAGGGAGCCAGTCCTCCAGGCATTTCCTGAGAAGATGCTTATGACCCAGGAATGTGTTTGTGTCTTCTTCCAGTGTTGACCTTATCCTTTTTTCATTCGTTCAGAAAGCCTGTGTAATGTGGGTCCCACCACGGGTTAGAACAAAAGACATTCAAGAAAAGGCTCCTTTCCCAAAGAGGTAGCCGTACCTGGGGAGTGGACACCTGTGTAGGACACGAAGGTGAACCAGGCAATGTAAGTGCTGGAGGTGTGGTAGACGGGACAGATGATAAGGCTGAGTCCACCTAAGAGGCTCTGGTGAGGACTTGGCACTGAGCCAAGTCTTAAGTGTGGGATCTGGACTGACACAAAGGAAAGCGCAGGCTTGCTTGGAGAGGGCACCGGAGCCTGCAGATGCATTGTGCTGCGGCTCCGGGGAGGTGGGCATGTGGCCTGTTAGGAAGTGTAAAGGCTGCAGACGCCGTTTCTGGTTTTAGAAGGTTGCGTGCTCTTTGCATTGGGCTCAAGTTGAGTTCCTCGGGCTGTTTCCGACTCCTAATGAGAGTTCCTTCCGGACCCTTACGTGTCTCCTGGCTGAGCCCCAGGAAGGAAATGATGCAGCTCTGGCTCCTTGTCTCCCAGGCTGATCCTTTATTCAGAGCACCACACAGAAAGGACATTCAGCCCTAGGCTCCTGGTTGGGTTGCAGAGTTCTGAGGGTCCACATCAGCTTCCGGTTCTCCGGATGAAGACCCCGTACCTGTGCCCAAGACTGAGAGCAGGAGTGCAGTGCCCTGCCGGGGCACAGCTTCGGAAGGATTGTACCTTTGTGTCCTTCCCTCACTGCCAGCCCGCTTTCCCCCTCAGCCCGGGTCAGTGTTGCAGTTATTTGGCCTCTGCACTCCAGAAAATGTGATTTGGTCTCTTCACTCTCTGAATATTAACCAGGTGTCAAAACTACCTTATAACCAAAGTAATAACAATGTCTATTGTATTATTTAGACTTTTAACATATAAAGCTATTTCTGCTGGTTTGTGCCCTGGTTCTTTTCTTTTTCCAGACAAGAAAATGTATTTTTCAATTGGTACCATAGTGTGAGATGCTGGGAACAATGGCTATAAAACATGCTATGGCACATATATTTATAGTCTGTTATGTAGAACAAATGTAATATATTACAGCCTTTTATTATATATAATGAACTTTGTACTATTCACATTTTGTATCAGTATTATGTAGCATAACAAAGACTGTAATGCTTTCAGCAGCTGATGTCATTTTATTAAAAAAATTGAAAAACTTGAAGGAATCTTTGTACAAGGCTATATTACTATGTCAATTCTCTCATTACTAAAACGGAGGAAGAATCAGACATAATTAAGGTTGATCTTCATTTCTACTTGTGCCCTTATTTCTTCTTATAAAGAATGTTTTTACAAAATGCTTATAAACTTTATAAACCAATAAATGTATTCAGAGTAAACAATATAATGGTATAGTATTATCACAACTTCCTTCTTGTTACAACTCTGTGATTATTTCTGCCTCCCTGTCTTCATCACACACATAATTCACACAGAAACACACTCTTGTGTTATTCTGAGCTCTTCTGAGATAGTGAACACACGGACTCAGAGATCCATGATTCTGTGTCCCTCCAGTGAACCTCATGCGTAGTAGAACACCCCACCACAAAACTGACAACTGAGAGGTCCTTTGACAGGTGCCCAGAGCCACAACGGCCCAGGGAAGCAAGGGGCAGATGTATGGTCTCTAGTGATATCTTACTCTGTTCTTACAGAGTCACAACAGCAGATCCATGATTGCCATGTTGTACAGTTCATTTTTGTGTGTGTTTTTTTTGGTTTTTCTTCCGGTACCAGCAATCGAACTCATGACCTTGCGCTTGCCAGGCAGGCACTGTGCCGCTGAGCTAAATCCCCCATCCCTCATCATTGCCGTTTTGAATGATTGCTTTTGCCTGAATTCCATGAACACAATTATATAACAAGTCACTGCGCCAAGAAGTGACCCTACCTTTTGTGGGATTTTAAAACACAAGATTTGAAATGTTTATCTCATCCAACATACCTATCTTATTTTTCAAAATGATTTCTAGGCTTCTTATCACAAGGAAGTTTTTCCTGTTTCTAAAGTCACTCCCACACTGTCTTCTTTTATTACATTTAAATCCATTTGGAATTTATTTTCATGTAGGGAGTGAGATAGGAGTCTTGACTTTTTTTAACCAAGCAGACCATCAGTCATGGCAGCACCATTTATGAAGTATACCTCTTTTCCCTGTGTTTAGAGAGATCTCTGTTTTACATCATTTTTCAGTCCTTTCATTTCACAGAGACATTCTGCAGAACTTGATGATGGAAGAGAAGATGTGTGTGGTTCCTGGGGACAGCGTTTAACAGAACGGGCAACTGGCTGGGGTTAGTGGATCAGTGTCTCTTGCCAGGTGCCATTAAACCAGGTGTCGGGCTGTCTCTGAGGACGTTGCTCAGCCATTGCTATTACGGTAGCCTTTTCTGGTAAATGACTGGAAGAACAGTCTAGTTTACTCGAGGTGAAAACGACTTTATAGAAAAGCCCAGGATTTTCTTCACTTTAGGAAAAAGAAAAGATTTTGTTTCTCCTAAGCGGCTCCTGGCGTTGTTTCCAATGTGAGGAATTTGGGTTCAGCCGGAACTTCACATTTTATTAAGAAACACTTTCTGCACCCTGGGCAGAAGGACTGGGAGAGGTTTGACCTTTTCCCACCTTTCTCTGTCTTCACGTCTTGTGAGCTCTTTTTCTGCTCCTCGCTTGCCCTGCATTGAAGAAAACTCTGTGACGTTTTAAAGTGCTTCCTGCCTGGTCTTATTTTCAAAGCTTAAATTGGAGGCATTTTAGGGGAGACCACATCGCCCCTGGGCTCCTGCCCGCTCTCTTTCATTCCCTTTCCTTCCTTCTCTCCAAGCCCTGGGTCTCCTCACCTTGCTCTCTGCCTCCCTGTTCTCTGTGTCCTACTCCCAACAGCCTTGGTCTAATGCCGCAAATTGGAGGAAGTTGTGGGGAGGTTTAAGTTCATTGCCCCTGGACTAAGTTTTCCTATCAAAGCACGTTCCTCTGTCCTCTTCAATGAAAGGAAAGTAGAAAAGTAAAAGCTGCAAGCCCACAACCGTGTAGCTGTTAACCCAATTTTCCTCTCTCCCCTTAGCAGGTTTCTTTCCACCTCAGACTCAGATTTTATCACCACATGGATGACATGTAAACAAAGCTAGGAAGCTTAACATTTTCCCACATTTGCATGTCTAAAAAAATGCCCTTAGGGGCAGTGGGCGTGTCCACGCATTCTTAGGTAGACAAGGGCAGTAACTGAGTTGTATAAAATTGCATTTTTAAATGAATCTTTTCCATTTCAAGAGTGTAGATCTAAGTAAAAGTCTGAATACCATTTTTTGCAAGCAGTTTTAAGTGTAATTCTTGGGGAAGTTGCAGAATGTTCCTAGGTGATAAAGAAATGAAAATGACAGAATTGTTTATTCTCTTTTTAATTGGAATAGAGAGAAGTAATGGAATCTGGGATGAGCAATCCAGAAAGAATATTGGAAATCATTGGCCTGAAATTCTGGAACTAAAGTAGCAAAACATACCAGTCCCAGGAAAAGGGATTGAGAGATAAGGGCTCGGAGCTAGGAAAAAGTGTTCCAAGGGAGACTACTGATAAGAGCAGGACTGCAGTAAACTGTGATTGACATCAAGTGAAAGTTAGTTAGATGTCAAATCATTCCTTAGATTCTTTCTTACATGATCTTTATGTAATTCTTTGATGCTTATAAAGCAACATCAAATTTAGTGGTTTCCCTGGTTTTTTTAAGTTTAAAAATAAAACAATGAGAAAATATGTGGTTTGATCAGTTTTACTTTAGCTTCACCTGCTGTTCACACCAAGTATTTTAGGACATATAATAAATATACTTACTCTAAACTGGCAGCGGTATACTTTCATACTGCAGTTGTTTGAAACTCTCAATTTTTAGGTACATGGCAATAGAAAAAGGGCAGGGGATTAGAAAACTGATTTTTTGCTCTGTCTTTTCCCTTCAGAAAATAATACTTAGGCAAAACATTTTAGTCTGCTTTCTGTTACTATAACTAAATGCCACAGACTGGGTAACTTATAAAGAAGAGAGATTTGTTTAGCTTTGATCCAGGAGGCTTCTTAAATTTCCAGCTCATGAAATTTGGGAGAAGATATTAAAACCACAGCAGGGGAATTAATGTATGTTAAACTCTTCAATTAAAGAACTCTTTCAATGTCTGAGTCTGAGTCCATGTGTGGCTCATAGGGTACAGGACCTGGACTGACTCATCAGTGGGATCAGAGTGCTATGTATAGGGGGATCTTTTTAAGCTAAAATGACTTACCCTGACTATGAGGATTGAGAATACCCCTCATTCCATTCATTGCCACAGAGAGACTATAACTTGGTATGAAGACTCAGAAATAAGGCAGAGAAGTTAGGCTGACCAGGGGAGCAGAAATATACCATTGCTCCTTCCCCAGGCTAACAAGAAAACGGACAAACAATCCTGCAGTGCATACTGGGGAAAAGCAAGGCCCCCCATAGTAATTAAGTGCCAAAGATCCAGCCCTTAATACTAAGCTTTAAAACAGCAATCTTTGTTTGTTTTTATTTGACTATGCTTATAAAATGCTTACCATGTGCCAAATAGTCATTTTAAAAGTTTATTGATATTGGCTCATTTAAGCAACAGGAAGTCTAGCGCAAGATGTGAGCATCACGGTGGGTGAGCCATGGCACACAGAAGGACCCTGGCTAACGGTTTCTACGAGTGCCAGGCTTCTGATCGGTGTATCTAGAATGATTTCCCGAGCTGTGTGGACTGAGAGTTAGCAACAGAAGCACAGAGAGGCGGGACCCGGCTCTTACTCCAGAACTCTCTGTATCTTTTCAGTTTCACTACCAGGAACCCAGCATAGTCTCCTTACTGACTCAGCCATTTTTCGTTCATTCTTGCCTGAGTTCAGGAGCTGCTTTAGGTCCTATAACACACAGATTTTGCCGTGGGAACACCTACTTTAACTTTAGAGATGAGAAACACATGAGAACAATAAGGAAAGAACCTTCTTATTGAAGGCTGAGAACATCAAGTTACCTCTGTCTGGTTCACGACATGCTGCAGAATGAGATTCTGACGATGCTTAGGAAGAATTTGGCCCTGGCAGGCCTGAATGGCAATGCAAACTTTGTGATACTGCTCTGCGTAAGGCTGTATTGTCCTTCACACTACTGCTGTTCATGTGAAACTTTTGCAGTAGGTGAAAATCCAGAGCACAGAAAGAGAAGATTCTATTATTGTCATCGGTTTTACCAGAAATTCTTCAATAAAAATTGTTTCATAGAGTGATTTCCCCTTGGGCATTTCCAAGTATCGTCAGGTAACACACAAGACTTCTTAAATGTATTTATTTCACAAAATAAAGCGTACTTCTGTGTAAATTACCTTGAGAGTCTTTTAAGAAATCTGTGCTTGAAGTTAATAGAAATTTCCTTTACTCCAGTCATTGTGGATAGATCATGAAATATCGCTGTGCTTTCCTACTGCCCTGTCCTGTCTAATGTGACCAGAAAATCACCTTGAGGATCTGTCCTGAAGAGAGGGGGAAAAGCGTCCTCCTTCTGTTACCTGTTTTATTAGAGAATTTCAGAGCTCTGCCTGGCTGCTGCTCCTGTAGCCTTTTGTGCTGGAGAAGAGCTCATGGCTGCTTTGATGGAGGAACAGGACAAGAGGCTGTCGCGCCAGAATGCATTCCCGAGGCCGATCTTACAGAACTCAGTAAGAGTTCTCACTCAAGGGGCCAGGGTTGTAGCTGAGCGGCACAGCACCTGCCCAGCGAGCGTGAGGTCCTGAGTTCAATTCTTTGTACAAAAATAAAAAGAGTTCTTGCTCAGAAAAAGCTGCAGTGAGTATTAGTTTTGGTGACATATAGTGTTAGAGCAAGTTTAATCATGGTGTAATAGAAGTTTTAGAGAAGTGTATGTTATGGGTTTAACTTTCTTTGTGTTTCTTTATTCATCGTGACGGACATTCAAGTAGCTCTGTGATGACTCAGGAGAAACACAAAGGGCAGAGAACTAACACTGATCATCTGCCATGGGCCAGGCATTGAATCTCGCATATCATTATCTCATGAAGCCCTTGTGATGGGCCCCTGTGTCATTATCACTTTGTTAAAAGTAAAAATTGGCAGTTACGACTTTTCTGCTTTGTTTTGCTCTGTTTTGGTTTGGGTACCTTTGCAGTACATACTGATTACATTCATCCCGGGGAACTGGTACTATACATGACGTTTCTTAATTTTTTTAACCCATGCTACTCCCTTCTCCCCCACCCTGCGTCTCTTGGACCCCTTCTCGTTCATAGGACAGTTGGTGCTCACCAGAGAGACAGATTTAATATATTGTACATGTGGA